TGATCTCTTCTCTTTGTGTGTAACTTAATGGAAAGTACACAATTGTGTGAACGTACGGCATTGCATGCCAATCAATTGGAACACAAAAGGCATGTCCTGTTCCTGGCAACAGGTAAATGTGGCGTGGATGATGCATACGTGCCAGCATTTGTTCAACCTCAGTACTGCAAATGGGATCTTCAACTAAGAGGTGGTCGGGTAACGATTTGGGATCCCCTCCATCAATCAGGTACAAAGGCACTTGTTGTGGCGTACTGTCAGGCAAACAAGACTCAAGGTTGATCATGAATGTCGTGTCACCTTGGCTTTGTGAGGCTTCTTGTGTGATCACTCTGTTTTTGGTTGATGTCTGTAGCAAAGATAGATCTTCAAAGTGTAGCTGATCAGGATCAACGGATGCACTCCCAGCATGGTCTGGCATGACTCTGATGCGAATGCTGTCTCCTGAGCTGACATGAGCAGCTTCAGTATCCGGCAAATCTCTGCGACCATGAGTTAGTGTGCAAATACTTTGTGCACAGAAAAAGGCAATTTCCATGACTTCAATGGCATGTCGCACATCAAGTTCTTGTCTTGCAGAGAAAGCTCCTTGGATCATGCTGTCGATTTGAGGACCTTCAAATAACGCAGTCGACACAATGGCAACAAAACCTGGGCGTGGGCGCTGTTCCAGGATGATATGGCATGCATGCGGTTGCGTTGTAAACTGCGGCGGCCGTGGTTTCACAATATGAATGGAAAAAGGCACTCGGTGGTCTAAGACATCATGCCAGGCATGTCGTAGTTCATCAATCCACATGGTCGGATGCTGACTAAGGCTAATGGTTCGAGCTCGTCGGCATGCCGGACGTACTGCATGGTTCACATACCACGTGAGAACGGGCAAAGTCAATTCATCATCCCATGCATTGTACACTCCCTGTGTTTGGAAGAGGCTACCTAGGGGCTCGATCCAGCTGTCCACACCATCGTGATATGGTCGCTGCGGAGGTGCAGCGTTAGTACCTGGGATCATGACTGGCATTCCTCTGTCTTCCTCCGGGCCGTGTGGACTGGGCTTGCACGTCGTTATCCTGCCTTCTGATTGGATTTGCGAGAATGAGATATCATCAAATTGCTCGAAGGCCACATTTGAATGGGCATCCATTACTGCAGCCATTCCTGGTGTCCAGAGACGAATAGGGAAGGCTGCATCTTCATTGTGGGAAGGCGGGACAAAAACAACAATGCAAAAACCAGGATAAAGCGATTCAATATAACCTGTGCTGATTAGCAAACGATTCAGCCAGATTCGGCATTTGCGTATTTGACACAAGTCCAACAATTTGGCTTGTTGCTGAACATTCTTCATTGTAGTTGGATTGGCCAGGGACACTGCAACATGCCTGACATAGGCATGATCGTGGTCCTGTCGCACGACAGAAAGGATTCCGGCCGAGCAGCAATCATCAAAATACGCTTGCTCCAAAATGATGTGTGCAAGATTGGATTCCGTCTCTGTTTTGGGCGGATGTGGCAAGACAACCAAAATGCGCAAAGGAGCGGAAGGATCAATTTGATCACTCCAGCTGTCAGTGATTTGTTGATGCCATGTGCTCATGGCGGAGCCAATCAGGCGCACTGATCTGCTGATCTCACATCTTTTGGCATTTTGGTGGTTGACATACCACGTAGTTGCGTATGCAATCGGCCCCTCTTCAGTGCATTCAATCATTGCATGCATGCTGAAATGGTTAGACAATGTGTCGAACCATCTGGAGTCAATGTCAATCTGTGCAGCGACATCAATGGGAAATCTATGTACATGCAAATGCAAAGGATTGCTATCTTGATCAAACCCTGACAGACATTGGGCTTGTCTTTGAACAAGTGCAAGGGATGTTCTTGACCTTGGGGCAGAAGTGCACTCACCTAGTGATTCAGCCTCCATGTCATCGATGGTGATGGCAAAATTCAAAGCCACTTCCGTGGGCACGGTGTGATCAAGTGGAGGCGTCGCGACAACCTTCAAATAGCAGCCATGTTGCATGGTTCTGACTCTGTTGTCTCGTTCCGCCCAGAGCTCATTGTTGAGGTAGACAAGACATCTGTCTCCTTGCAAAAAGCAATAATTGGAAAGACGGGCTAGTCTCAAGACATACGGTCTTGAAATCTGCGGTGTGATCCTGTGCACTCTTCTGGAAACTTCGGGAGCATTCAGCATACCCTGTTGTGTGGTTTGGAAACGCACTTCAATATCCAAAATCACCAGTTGTTCGGTGGACCCAGTGGCAAGGTCTTGAACATGTTGCAAAATGACCGAATCTTCAGCTTCATGTTGTCCAGTCAAAACCGCCTGCACATTGTGAATGCCAATGATGTTCCTCAATTGCTCACGAAGAAACCTGGCAATATCATACAGAATGGAATTGTATGTTCCCCAGCGTACAAAACAGTGTACAACAGGCCGATTCAAGCGATATATTTGCACTCCTTGCCAATGCTCAAACTGGGAAGGTGAACCCGGAATTGGTGTGGCAGTCGCAGGTTCTGAATCTCTACCCCAATCACTCTGATGGTCATCTGAATTTCGTGCTTCCTGATCGCTCTCAGAGTTCGAGTGGGAATTCATAACAGCGTCACTAGCCTGAGCTGGATTTGGGCCTTGTTCGCCTGATCCAGCAGCGGCCTGTTGTGGTCTTGGTGTAATGTGCACTGAAAACCCATGTCCATCCATCATGTAGTGTGCTGGGACAAATGAATATGGGATTTGTTGCCAACCAAAGTAGAAATTGCAGTTGTTGCTGTTGCATAAATGCGATATATCAGCAGCTGCTGCTAGACCAATACCACTCACTTCATCTGGTAAGGAAATAGCTACAGCATTCGGTCGCAGGAAACCCTGTGCATCTTGTCTGTACATGGTAAGCAGACCTGCATATCGTTCCGCATCAGTCCCTTGAACGACCAGAACGTCAGCAACAATCTGTCTTTGGATGAAACTTCGGTCTGGATCCGGCATGACAGTGAAATACTGTACATCATCCTGCGGTTGAATCATGTTACGCCAGGCACTCGCGATTTCTCTCTGCCATAGCACCCATCTGTGATCAACTTCGACAACCCGGGGAACAACCCAACGAGGAAAATGGTAATGATGGATGTACCAAGTTCTAAGCAGGAAGCTGTTTTGCATCAGGAAGTCATGAGGCAGTGCTAGATATCCAGGGAGAGCAAAAATATCAGTCACAAAAGCTGGCGGTGGATCAAATTGGACTGGAGTGCGCTGAGCTTGTGGCACTTCAGTACTTGCCGCAGCAATTCTGCCCGGAATGTTGTCATGTTCGTCTGTCAATCTCATCTTTGCAATTGGTGATTGAGTCTTCAGGTGGATATTTTTTCTTGTTGGATGTGTGATTTCACTCTGCGTCAGAGTCTTTGATGGCTTTTTGGTCCATGGTTTTCCGGTCCAAGTCGCTAAATCAAAGACATTCATAGTAGTACTGTACATTTGAATCTCATCTTCAATTCCAATGTGGATGGACGCTTTATTGTCAAAGCGAACACTCTTTGAAAGGCGGGCGGTCTGATGAGAATTCTTTTTGATACAGCTGGATTTCGGTCGTTGCTGTGGCGCTTGCGTGCCTGTGAATACCACATCTTCTGACGTGTCAGCGACCAAAGGCATCACATCAAATTCAGAGCAAGAGGCTTCCCTTGAAACATCAAAAGAATCACAGAAAACACTCCACCCTAATTTCCAAGCAGACATCACAGCATCAAATGGATTGAGATAGTTGGCTTCATTTTGGATCGAATGTTGCCAATGTCGGAATTGATGGATATCAAAATCGGTGAGCTGAGTGTGGCATGCTGCACGCACCATTGGCCTCAATGCGTAGGCATCAGCAACACCAGCAATAAAGGTGGCGTCGTGCATGTTATGCCTTTGCACTAACATAACACCGCCACCACTCAGGAGTTCATGGAGTCCGCAGGCACTCCAGCAGATCCAGGAGTGCCAAATGGTTGCATTGTGCGAGAACGAGGACGCTTCTTTTCGCGCTCCTCGTCTTCCATTGTCAGATCTTCTACCTCTGTGTCCTTGTCTGCATTCTTGTCTGCATTCTCCACATTGAGAGCTGCAGCGCAATGTTGCAAGACAGTCTGAAGCTGCCCCTGCAGCTTCTCTTCTTCTACATCCGCATCTGTCATCCCTTCTTCCTGCTCTGCCGACACCGCAGTGATTGGCGGCATTGCAGCCAGGGTGGCCTGAGACGCTTTGGCTGAGAGGTTCTGAATCTCTGATCTGGCTGTTTCGATGTCCGATCGGGCTTTGGATGCAACGTTTCGGAACGTAGCCTGCTGTTTCTGATAGTCTTGCAATTGATTTTGCCATGTGGTGACCGCCTCCGTAATATGCTTGGTCCATCTGATGCGATGGAGTTTCCTGGCTTCCAATGTTTCTGTAAGGGTCTTTTGCGCTTTGCCCAAGGATTTTGTAGCAGCATGTAGATTCTTCGTGACGAATCTGTTGTTCTCCTTTTCCAATCGCTCGATCTCCTTGTCCATCTTCTCGATGAGCTCTTGAGTTTCCGGAGGAGCTGCATTGACATCCGGGTATGCAATTCGGAGGGCTGCAACACATTCTTTCTTCTGTGCAAGTGCTTCGACATTGCTTGAACTGCTTGAACTGGCGGCAGCTGTCACTGTCGGCATCAGGTTCTGCGCAGTTCCTTCCGCTGATGGCCATGGCGGCATCGTGGCTGCTAGCGGCGCAAAAGGTGAAGAGCTGTAATGCGTTGTCTCCTGACCGCGAACACCTGAAGTCGTGTCCTTGGTCTTGCCTTTCATGTTGCCCTTTCCTGCTCCTTTGTTTTTGCCTTTCCGTCCACGTGGACTCTGTGAACCTTTGACAGCTCTGGGACTCTTTGATCGACTTTGGGATCGACTTGGACCTCCTTGCCAGTTGTCCCAATCTTCCCAGTCTTCCCACGCATATCTCTGTCCTTTTGGTGGCCATGCATCTCGATAGGCAGTTGCTTGGTGCACTTTTGGTTCTGTACTGTGACGAACTCCAGTTGACCAATGAGAGTGACACACTACGCGCTCCTCTGCCACTTTCTTGTTTATCCGCTGGCAATTGATGCACCGCCAGGGAAAAAGATCCTGGTTCATCTTTCTGCTTATATATATATATGTGTGTGTGTGTGCATATATATATATACACACACACACTGTACACACACATAATATATACACGTATATCTACATACAATCAGAATCTTGGCAACTTAATTCTCCGGAATCTTGATCGAGAACTATTCAAGATGGGAATTCACGATCTAAATCGCGCGATTTTCCGCCAGGTGGGAGAAAGCCCAAAAGGAGAAGCTGGGTGACACGGTTTCTTGGTGCCGAGATGATGCGATTTCGAGCAAAAACACAAGGGGTTTCACCAGCCAGGGACATTTTGAAGGGCAACACATCGAGAAGTTTTTTGCAAAAAGGGTTTGATCAACCAACACAGGGGATTTCACCGACAGATGTTTGCTGAACATCGGATCAGTGATTAGGATGGGAGGGATAAGACTGAGAATCCAACTGGTAATGGTGGGGAGTCGATCCTACTTGATTCGGACATTGGACCAAGTTCATGATGATCGACCTAGAAAATGGACGGTTTTTGGATTCCAGCTGATGAATTACTCACGATGTCTAGATCTACATCCGACTATCAATGAATTAGACCATGACCAGTGCTCAAAGAGGGGTGAGCAGTACCAAAAAAACAACATTCAACTTTCAGCTCCCAAGAACGGATTTGATTGCAAGGGTTTTTTACGCTGGCTTTGAGGAGGTTGATGTGTGGTGACCGTGAGCTCCCTTAAGGACCTATATATGGTACCGGAGGCGAAATGTCCAAGCCGCTTAGGCTGAAAAGAAGGAGGAAACCAATGCCCGCGAACGGCGGAAGGATCGAGAAAATGGCCCGAAGTCCCAGATGGTCCCAGTGGTCCCAGGTTCGTCCTGAAAGGTCCCTTTGGGTCCCAGGAAGTCATATTCCAAATGGCAATGCTGGTGCTTTGGAATATTTTTTTAACCTTTTCCCCAATAGTTGGGATAATAGTTGGGATGATCCAATCTGACTAATATAATCTAATAGATCTCATATTTTTCCGGGGGGTAGGTATACTAGTATACCACCAACCAGCCATGGGTAATTCATTCCATTTCAGATTGGACATGTGGCCGAACGGCCTCGGCTCCAGGAAAACATGAAGAGAAGAGCCGGGCGAGGGACAAGGACCACAAGGAGCGATAGCGGTGCCAGGTTGGAAGCAACTGGCCTTGGGACCTATCAAGGCCACATGGGCCCTGAAAAAAGGGAAAAACACGTCGAAACGAACATCATCGAAGATATTTAGCTATGTGACTAGGGTTATAGTCACGTTATAATCATCAAACCCATTTCACTCGGCTTTTTGCGATGGTTCCTGGGCCCCAAAGGACGAATCTGGCTTGAGGTATGCTGAGGCATTTGACACATGCCATAATCACTCGACAGGGGATTGCCGATCCGAACTAGCCACAGTTAGAGTGAAATTAACATGCTGCCACTGCCAGTGAATTCATCACTTTACACGCCTCGACATAGTGTGGAGACAGGGTTGGGGGCGCTGAGGAATCTCGGTAGCATCAACATGCCATGGTGGCTTATTGTCAACATTTGTCAACTTATTGTGGCTTAAGCATTCTTTTGATGTGCGTTTTTCTTCGTTTTCAAAAAAAGGGTGGCATCGCAAGAGTGAAATTTCAGCTAGAGTTGGATACAACTTTTACGGATGGTACAATGGTGGGAAAATATCAATTTTCGCATGGGATGACGACCAAGATTGGGTCCTTTCACCTGCAAAAAGTTTGATTTTGGATTTTCGTTTTCAAGTGGCGTGGGGGTTCACCATTTCCGTTTTGATCACAATGAAGAATGGATATCATGGGAATACGATGTGATACAATGTGAAATGTGGGTGTGTATATATATATAATGGGGATGTAGTGGGGGTCTATCATCAGTGGCATGATGTTGACATATGATGACATATGTGTATATATGATATTGATGGGGTTGATTGCTGAAGGTGGGTTCATGTATAATGAGGATGACTTAGATATGAATGGTGATATGGTGGGATTCATCTAGGCATTGAAACTCACTGATGTCGCAGCAAGATGGACATTTCAAACCTGCCGCGGTTCAGTGTGCATCCCATCTGGTGCCTTGATGGAGACCTGCTTCAGCTGAAAGATCCGTTGCGACCGACGGAGGATGTCAACGATGCTGGCAGCGGCTGGAGGTCAGATGGATCCCTTGGTAGATCTTGGTATAGTTTGGTTGCAGCCTTTTCAACCCCACCCACTGAAAACGGACATGGTGAAACCCCAAAACATGGCCTTACAGGATTCATCAGGATTCTTTTTCGCTGTTTTAGTATGGCAACTCGTAGAGTTTCAAACATCGATTCCAGGGGTGCAAACCACTTCCTCAATGGAATGATCGAAGCTTCTGATTTGTGAGAGCTGCCCGGAAAACATCCGGGTTGTCCGGTATCATCGAGGGGCAAGTGGGGATCCATCATTTTTTTCAGCTGAGGCTGGGGACAACCAATATTTTTGGTTGGTTCTTCCAAGATTTTGACACAAAGGAAGAACTGAGCAGAAACGCTGGCCATACTGGCCCTCCCGTTCTCCAGGAGCGATCGAGGCGGAAAGAAAGCAGGAGTCGGGTGCCGAATGCAACCCTTCCTGGCAGACGTCCTCCGGTCATACTTTAACGTGCAGCCGAAAACCACCATCGAAAATGTTGATATCGATTTGATATCTAGCCCACTGAAACACTGGGGGGCACCCCATAGGTCGATTCCGGGTAACGAGGTATCATGGATTATGATGGTATGGATGGCTTGGTTTGATACACCACCGGCCATGTGTCCCTAGTGAGGTCGCTCCCGTCACCGAAGCAATCGGAGAGAGAAGTCTGATAGAAGGCGCGGGGCTGCACCGTGAGGATACCGCGAGGGAGGCACTTTTTAGAACCGTTGGTTCAATGAAATAACGAAACCAAAAAACATGTCCACCTGGCAAACTACTGTGGATGGAAGAGATCCTGCACCAGTTGATAGGAGGTTTATCCCATTATCCCATTATTTATAGGGTTTTAACCATCCAAGGTGGTGCAGGATTTCTTCCATCCACAGTAGGATTTGAGGTTGATTGGTGGGGAAGCGATTGCACTCCTTAAATTTGGGATTATCAAGATCGTCCATGCTGAGAATCCCGTTCTGAACCCTTCTCGGACGGAGCTCGAAGGGTATCTCCATATGGAAGTTTCCCTATTCCGGGGTGCCCCCAATCATCCAAGTCATTAAACCATTTTAGTATTGAAACCCATGGTAAAATGGATGCCCCCCCATTTTAGGAAACTCCCATATATCTCCTCCTTGCCAGACGGCATCGTCAGAGTCGCAGCCCCAGTCGTCGTCGCAGCCGTGAGCCCCAGTTGACGACTGGGGAGGATGGGCTCGTTGATGAACATGGTCGATGAATATTAGCCAAAGAATGTCTATGTGTATATAATTTATAATGATATTAAACATTAGCATCATTAGCAATGACGATGTCTATATACACGCATGGGATATAAGTAGCATACCACCAATCATGAGGTGCCAATCGTAAACATCCCGATACGGGGTGCCCTATTCCTGGTCAAATGGCCTCCCAATTTTCAACAATCCGAGGGTTATTTTTCCGGGGTTGACATTGCATTCACCCAGACGGCTATAATATTATAAAGGTTCTACCCCCTGGTAATTTAACATAGCTATTGAAAATGATCATTTATAGTTGATTTACCTATTACAAATGGTGATTTTCCAGTTCGCTATGTAAACGTTTACCAGAGGGTATATATATATATTTCTGCCGTTTCGATGGGAAAATAGAGATCACCAACGATGGGAAACACGGAAACACCATGGCAGGGGACCTCAGATTGGCCATGAAAATAGATCACCTACCATGAATATATGACGTCTCGACTGTAGTGTGGCTTGGGGTGGCGAATGTTAATTGAAACACGTCTATTCTATATTCTACATCAACTCATGCACACACACACAAACAATCACAAACACATTTATGTGCATGATGTGTACCTTTTGTGTGATTTGCATATGATGTATGGGCAGATGAGTGCCTGGAACTCAAGGACTGCTGTTTAACCAGCAGCAACTGCTAGCAGTCCTGTCCTAGATGTTTGGAAGTTCCTGCTGCAACATTTGGCTGTTGAACATTTTTTTGTCAGATCGATTGATGTTCGATTGCCATGTTTGCTAGTCAGTGCCTGTTCTTCCAATGTTTTTTTTGGTGACGGGCCAAAAAATCCGAGCGGCCGAGCATCACAATGGTTAAATCAATGGGTCTCAATCAGCCCCAAAGGGGTCTCCGGTGATATCTCCGTCCCGCAACGCGTGGTGTTGCGACCGCGATGCCCAAAGCTGCACCTGGGCTGCACACGTCGAACATGTTGTACTTTGAGTGAGATGATGATGAATAGCAACTACAGCTTTTTAGCTTAAGATGCGCGGATATACCAAGATTGTTAGAAGTCATTGGCGGGTTGGAAGTGAATACTGAGCAATTTAAAATCCTTATTTCGATTCATGACTCCCTTTTTTTCCTGGCAAGGCTTCTTTAAGACTTCCACGGCTATTTTTGACCCCCCAGCACTTGTTCTAAGTTCTATGGGTATGTCTGAAAATGGGGAATCTAAGCATCAGAAATCGGGGGTGACTGGGATTTAAGTTTTACGGGGGCAAATGATGATAAACCACAGAGCAAATAATGATAGTTACTGTATCTTGCTTATCCTGCCTAGTGGTTGAGCACGCCCCCTCTTCAAGGGGGTTCAATCAGGGCTGCTATAATATACACAAATGATCAAACATGTGGAAACTTGCACAGTGCATTTGGGGGCATATACTTGGTAGTGGTTGAGCTACCCCCTGAGAAATGAGAAAATAATTTTGGACTGCGTATGTGTGTGTATATATGTATATATGTGTGTGTGTATATACATATCACCCCCATTCCTCGAATCAACTATATAAATTAGTTCTCAGCAAACCCGCTTGCCAAATTTGAAGATGTTGGCTTTAGAACGATTCTCTAATGATTACCGGGCAGTTTTTGTTCGTGGTTTGGAATCTCACTGGGTGTTGGACATTGACTAGTGCAGAGCCCCGCCAACCCCCCTTCTCTTCCACGGGAGAACCACGACGTCGCTAGGCGCTGATTTTTCTCCACGGCAGTGGCGACACCGGCCCTGGCGTGCAGGCCGGAGATTCCGAGGGCTTTTAGCCGGGTTTATTCGCCTTGGGAATCAAGTCAGGACCAACACTAATTATGAACATGTTTGTTGGCCAAGATATCCATATTGAATCATATTTTCATGAGTTAAACCATGGTTAAACCACTTTTAAACATGTTCTTGTTGGTTCAGAAATGGTGCCATCCATGGCTCCATGACCAGGCCTGGCTGAATCATGTGAGCGACGGGGCCTTTGAGCCGCTTGACCTGAGGGACTTTTTTAACATCCCATCCCTACGAAACAGCCCGTTCCAGTGGTTCCAAATAGGTGTTTAGTATGTAAATCCCCTACATCCACCATGGTTTCTGTGGGGTATTTAGTGTTTAGTATGTTTATTAGGGGTGTCCGTGGGGTAGTGACATGATGCTCCAGTCGCCAGGCCATCAACAGTTGTTTTTTTCTTTTGAAAGGGGCACGTCCTAGGCCGAGGTGACCCGTTTTGAAACAAATCGAGTGCAGGCCAGTTCTTGTCAAAGCATCCTTTGCGAGTGATTCAGCGATCGAATTCAATCCTCAAGTTGTGCTGATGTATTCCCGTTTTTGTGGCAAAAGAGACCAAGGATGACCAAGGTCTTTGCAGCTAAATGGGGTTCAGGTAAAAAGTCCCCCACATTATTTTTGTAGGTCAAAGCAGCCTCTCCCACCAAGGGCCGAGCTTAAACGAAAGGGCATCGAACTGCACTTTCCCACAGCCCCCAGCGTGCCCTACAGTCACTGGCTTTGCAAGACGTGGGGATGGGTGAAACCAAACATCACTAGCTTTCAGCATTTCTCGGTATGTAGAAAAGCATATAGAGGTTTTGACCTCATGTCAAAAGCCCTACAAAAGCCCTACAAAGTCCCTGTCATCTCTTCAGTTCGCAGATGGGGGCCGTGTTCGTGTTTCCGTTGGGGCACAAAACCTACCCTCTGATAAGATAACATATGGAAAATCACAATTTTTGATGGGTAAACCAACTACAAATGGCAATTTTCAATAGCTATGTTATGTTATATTACCAGAAGGTAGGCGAATTAAAGTTGCACAGAAATCAAAGTGGTTTGAAGCCACTCCCTGGAAACCTCCATTTTGGCATACGTCATACGATGATCCTGGCGGAATTGGCCCAAACTGTTTCAGCTGCCAGGTTTGATCGGTGGAATGCCTCAAAGTGTTTGGTCCAGACTCTCAGGGGGGTTGTAGATCCATGGGGATCCCCATGGCACCGATGTTTCAGCTGCCCCCTTTGGGGCTACGTTTGTTTGTAGCACGTTGGTGGATGAGACCCCCAGGCCCGCTGCACACATGATCTCACGATCTCCGTGTGATTTCCCATTGCGTGGTCTTTATTGGACAAATGACGGATGCGCACTTAAATGAAGATCTAGTAAACAACCACCAGCAAAGCTTCCTCAACGTAAACACGCAAATCATGTTCTTTGGCAAATTGGAATTTCAATTCAACGTGCCCTGGGAAGCATGGGATATTGATGGCCCCCGAAGGTTTGACCGTGTGGCCATGGCCTATGATGCCCCGGAAGATGTTGCGGGCCTAAAAAGGAGACGCGCGGGAGGAGGATGTGGGTGATGATGATGGTGATGATGATGGTGACGATGAAATCAGGATAGGAATAAGACTTTGGAGGTTCGCAAGGAATCTGATTGGGAACATATTGGAAATTCCTTTTCTACTTGAGTTGCTTGGAGGTAATGGTCAAGACTTTGAAGAGACATATATAATCATATGAGTAACCGACAAAATTAGCGGAATACTGAAATAGTAGGGAGTGGACTTGGGATGTTCAAGTTTGTGTGAAAACCTTCACAACCTATAGGGCCTATAGGGTATCACCCACCTGCCGATACCCTATTTTTACACATAGGACGGAAGTACAAACCTTCACAGCACCCTCTTTGGCCATGCCCTTCACAGCACAGAAGTACAAACCTTCACAGCACGGAAGCACACGGAAGTACAAGTAATTTTGTCCGCCACTCATATATCTATGCAAATCTAGGCCTGTATACATATATATATATGTATATGGATGTATATGGACCTACAGTTACCCACGCAATATATCTGGATCTGGATAAATTCTAACGGCCTCACTGTTCTCCCGAGCCCTGCAATGGGTGACAAGGGAACTCATACCACGATAGCCTTGAGGTTAGTGCGTGATAATTTATTCACATATATATATAGTCACAAAAAGATAGAAACGTAATTCATCACTACTTAAGTGGGATTTTAATGGATTTTATTTATTGGATTTTATACGTTTCAATCTTTTTTTTTTGGGTTGCTATATTATACGTCTATCTATAGCTGGGGAGATCGGCGAACTTCCAGGACTGTGGAGCTGGTCGACAGGGAAATCGCCACTTGGTCATGCATGCATGCATGCATGCATACAATACAATACAATACAAATACAATACAATACAATACAATACAATACAATACATACATACATACAATACATACAATAAATACAATAAATACAATACATACAATACATACATACATACATACAGACAGACGGACAGGCAGACAGACAAACAGACAGACAGACAGACAGACAAACAGACAGACAGACATACATACAGACAGACAGACATACAGACATACATACATACATCCATGCATGCATGCATGCATACATACATACATACATACACACATACACACATACACATACACATATACATATACATATACATATACATATATACATATATACATATATACATATATACATATATACATATATACATATATACATATATACACATACACATACACATATACATATTAATACATATACATATACATATACATATACATATACATATACATATTAATACATATACATATACATATACATATATACATATATACATATATACATATACATATACATATACATATACATATACATATACATATACATATACATACGTACATACGCATGCGTGCATGCATAAATGCACACACACATATAGATATATACATACATACTGCATCAATGATCTGGAAGAATTAGATCGTGGATGTACGATTTACATCAAACTGATATATGTTTTGCATATAACTATATGATCTCTCTCTCTCCCTCTCTCTCTCTATATATATACATATGATCCCAAATAATTGGACGGCAAATGGCACATGGTTTACTTGGTATAAAGGGTTAAGCCGACCGGTGAATGGTAGTTCTCTATGTGTCCATTTTTAGCACGTAGGGTCCCATAGGGTTATCTAAGGTCACCGTAGGTCTGATCTCGAGGCCCAACATGAGCAGTGGCTTTCACAAGCTCCTGTTGCTTGTTGAGTGGTTCGTTTTTTTTTTCTTTTTTTTTTTGTGCTATGCAATCTAGACATCCTTTATATCATATCCCGAAAATTACACTCCCCATGAACCAAGCATTTTATCGTGGAATGACGCCTCAGGGGCTAGATCTGCCCAAGGATCGGCTCATGGAAACTGGAACCGCTGTTTCCAAGATCGGCACCTTGGCCCATTCAGCGGTCTCGCAGTCTTGGCTGGTAAGTTATGAAAAATTGTGATTTAATGGGATTTAACCACTATAAATGGTAATTTGATGGTGAGTTACCCTCCGGTTATTTTAACAGTTTGCTATTGAACATGGCCCGGATAAAGTTCGTTGATTTACCAAAGATGGTGATGTTCCATAGTTTTTTGTATGTTTACCAGGCCGGGTATCCGTTATATCCTGGCTGTTGGATCTTTGGTGGTTGCCTCCATTTCGATTCGGTCGCCGCGCCTCAGGTGTGGCAGGGATGTCCATGGGAGGCTGTTTGGTGCACGCCTCAGCGGCCTCAGCATCCCATGGAGAGCACCTATTTGTTCAACAGGAGGCTGCCAGGGTTTTGAACCATAGCCATATCAATTATGGGATAAAAGTGAAATCATGATGGAATAGAATACCCTCTGGTAAACTAACATAGCTATTGAAAATGGCCATTTATAGTGGATATGCCCATTAAAAATAGTGATTTTCCAGTTCGCTATGTAAACGTTTGCCAGAGGGTATGTACTTGAATAGTAACTATCATTAACTATCTATAATCATTCGGCAATCAGATGAGATAATTAGTAGCCTGAAAGATCCTATGGATCGGCATGGTTCATTTTCCGGTGGGTTTCCACTAAGGCCCTCCATGTGGGCTATGGCATGGGTCGCCACGCAGGGAAGCCACTTGGGATCATCCAAGATGTTGGCAGAAAATCCTGGCAGAAAATCCTGGCAAAGATCTCCAATGATAGGATCATTTTCCATCATTAGTGGCAATTAGCTGGGACAATAATCATGAAATTTATTTGCCTATGAAACATGGTGATTTTCAATGGTGTTTTTGTATGTTTACCAGAGGATATCCGTTTGTAGCTGATTTTCCCGTCGTTTTCAAAAGCCAACTGGTTGGGCTTGCCTCAAGCCGCACCTTCGCGTGAAATGATAGGTCTCAAATATCTTGAAACAGAAGCAGCAAAGAGGTTTGATGTCAATTCCTCATTCTTCGCAGGTGACTTATCAAGGAATCCCAAGGATAGAATTGGTTGCAGGGAGAATTGACAAGACACCCCCTGTATTTGAGGGTCAAACTCCATCATTTTCTGCAACATTTCCCTGAAAACAAACATTGAAGTTGTCTGAAGATAGCCCCCCGTTTTCGGACTCAGCCAGATATCGTATTGATGATATATCCCGTTCTATTCCGGTAAATATCGAATCTCTTTAAAATACTTTATTATTATTATTAATATTATTATTATTATTAATATTATTATTATTAATATTATTATTATTTATTATTATTATTATTAATATTATTATTATATATACATATATACATACATATATCTGTCTATCTCAATGTTCGATTTCAGCTTGATGACATTTTCCGCTAACCCAACCAAAAGTTTCAAATTTCCCCCCAATGGTGGATTGCCATGGATTTCCCACAGGCATCCTCTGGTACTCAAACATGGCAAATGGACAAATGGACATTAAACCCTATAGATGATTTTTACCAGCTCTAGACTTCCATTTAATTATTTACTTTGGGGATTTCCCCATTAAAATCACATAAAACCACTATTTTTTCGGGTGATTTTCCCATAAAACCCTCCATTTTTGTGGGATTTTCCCACGACTCAAAAGCGAGACCGCGGCTTCCCAGGCTGGGGATGGTTGCGAGCCTGAGCACCTTCCTGCCAAAGGAGAGCTGCCGGGCACCCGGTGTTCAAAAAACGCGACGAACACCGAGATATTTTGGTATTTATGCGGTATTTATGCGGTATTTATGCGGTATTTGTGTTGTTGTTGTTGTTGTTGTTGTTTTCAAAGGTCAAACTCTGCATCTTGATTGTGGAAAAAAGTGGTCCCCAGTTTTCGCGGCCGTCACCGTGTAACTGCAACTCTGATTTTATATTCAAACGTATTGAGAACTGATGATTGCAAGGAATTGCCTGTTTCTAGGAGAAGCTACACCTTTTCTTCTTGCAACACCAGTGTTTGGCATTCTACACGGAGAGTGTTTTCTGCAGGGCAGGTTGAGGGAGATGTGGAGAGCAAACAGTTCTTTTTTGACAGTTATCAAGTGGGAACCTCATGGTAATTTCCACCAAACTTTAATACTGTGAAATTGTTCCCCAAAATCGGGATTGTGGCAATTTTTCGGCAGGTCTGAACTTCCATTCTACAACATTTCTGAAGAACTAATCAGCTCTAAGCTAGGCAAACATGGTATATTCGATTAGTATGCACCACTTTTGTTTGCCATTTTGGAAGACCTGCCTTTTCTTTAAAAGCAACGACAGGTTTGACAAACAATGTTTTTCATTACATTAGACGAAGGCTGTTATAAAATGGCCACGTCCAGTCCGCGAGGTCTAGACAGCTCAGCTACGAAGGGGGCGCCCCTCTTCATGGCACATGGTGCCTCGGCGGTTCATCCCCGAAAGATTTTCGTAATGGTTTGCCTACAAGGTGGATCAAGGTGGTGCCCCCTCAGTTATAAGTTGGTTTATAAGCCATACTTATTGGAGTTACAAATGCACCAACATAGCGATTCCGACCTGGGGCACCAGCAAGGTCGGGAAGATCGTGCGGCAACTCAAAGGGGTCGAGGTCGATTTTTCCGCCGGGATTTGAAGACCACCATCTTTGGGCAAAACAGGGGGGGGGCTATGGGGGGCTACACATCTTTATCTGGTTGGTGGTTTGGAACATGACTTTTATTTTTCCATATATTGGGAATTTCATAATCCCAACTGACTTTCATATTTTTCAGAGGGGTTGAAACCACCAACCAGTTACATATCACATATCTATACCAACTTCAAAAGAAAGGAGGTATTCAAGACTGAGAATGTTTGCCAATCCAAAGATCATGTTGGCATTCACTGGTTGCTTTCAAAGATTTCGTTGGACATGCATCGTGCAATGTCGAAGCCACCACGAAGCCAAGCCGCAGAGGTATGATTCTCCTACCATGGGCACAAGCTACTCACAAGAGGTTGCTGGCGGCAGGTGTCGCCGCGGAGGCTGGGGGTCCTCAGCCTTGATAGTGGGTTGCCCCCTGGCTGCCACCTACCATGACTGGATGATGAAAATAAGCCATAAAAATGCTGATGACTTGGGATTTATATATTGTTTGCCATGTGATTCGCCGAGATTTCTCCAAATGGGCAGGAACTGCGGGTTTTTCCCGGGGTGCAACATGAACTTTGTGAAGAGGAGGCGCGGTGATTCGGATGTTGTTCCATGGAATTCACACCACGATGAGGGGACCTTCATCGCCATGAGCTTCCCATACCGAATGGGGGTTTCTTATGGGAGTATGGGAGTAATGTGGGTAAAACAATGCCACAAACCACCCATTTGGGAATGGTTTATACCATCTCGAAAAATGCTGATGACTGGGGGATGGTGCAAATGGCATTGCTGTACCGACTTTAGTCATCTTTAGTCCCTATCAATTCCACCAATCAATGTGAAATCAAACTGACGAAGATGACGCGTTCAGGTCAAAGAACTTCAAACTTTTGTCGTCGAACATCTGGGCGCTTCCTGAACTGAACGCTGAACGGAACGCTGAACGGAACGCGATGAGAAAAGAGAGAGGAGGAGCCTGTCTTCATGATGTCTGGGTATAGTAACGCTCAAAAAGATAGACACGTCAGAAATCTATATTTCAAGCAAGTGACTTAGGACTTGTGAAAGATACCCCGGGGTGGCCAAGTCCTATCTCATCATGCGTCGGACCCCCCCTGGACAAGTCCCAACTCATCAGGTGTCCGTATGAGATTATATAGAAACTATGTTTGATTTTTTTTAGTGCGGCATGGACCACTCGTAAAACCATGATGACATAGGACTTGTGCCCCTTTCGTGACATACGATTTTGTGCACCAAGTCCTGTGCATGTATGTAATGTACTTTACTGTAATGTACTGTAATGTAATGTAATGTACTGTAGTGTAATGTAATGTGCTGTGCTTTACTGTAATGTAATGTAATGTGCTGTAGCGTAATGTAATGTACTGTAATGTAAGTATGTAGGTCCTGATGAGTTGAGATAATCGCCTTCTTTTCGATGGCTCGTGTTTTGATTGAAATTGGCACGGGCAAGTCAAACTTGCTGATCTTCACAGAGGCATCTGAAGATAGATCTCCACAGTTTATTCGGGAAACGACCCGAAAAATCTCGTGGGAGATGTGGCAGTGCCTGGCGCCTGAAGAGCTTGGTGCCCGTGCCAAAGCCCTCTGCCAGTTTGTCAACCGAGTGCTTGGCCAACACAACATCAAAGAAGCCACCAGCTGGACGGTTACTGTCACGGGAGGGCGTGAAAATTTCAGTGACTGTCATCTTCAAGCTTTGGCGCAGGCTCAGGCTCCTTTTGAGCTTCTTCGTTTGAGCGCCCAGGAGGAAGCCTTTCATGATTTGCGCTCAGTTCAGCTGGCTGCCCAAGATGAGTGCATTCCGGACCTCGCAGCTTTCTTAGGAAGCGGATCGCAAACAGTGGGTTTCCCATGTTCGCCAATCAAAGTCTTCGCCATACAAGATGGCGGCTCCTCTACGTTGCCAAGTGTAGCGGCATTGGAGAGGTACGCAGGTCTCATTGGCCGTTTGGCCAATGAGCGGTCTTGTGGGATGATCTTACTGGCATCAGGCTTTGCTTGGGGACTTTCTACCACCAACGCAGAGGACATGGTGGCTTCCTTCGACTATGAGCAAGCTGGCGAAAAAATACGCAATCAACTTTGTGCCCATCTTGAAAAATTGTGATTTTCATTTTTCCTTCGATTTATATCCAGACATAATTTTAAAGCAAGTAAGTAAATTGAAAAATGCAAATATATATTTTTATGTGTAATCTTTCTGTTTATTTATATATATATATAAATGTTTTTTTTTCAACGTATTATGTAGTGTGATGTAATGTATTGTATCGTAATGTAATGTAAAATATGTATGTACGTTCTGATGACTTAGGACTTGTGCCCCTCTGGTGACATACGATTTTGTGCACCAAGTCCTTTGCATGTATGTAATGTAATGTACTGCAATGTACTGTACTGTACTGTAATGTAATGTACTGTAGTGTAATGTAATGCAGTGTAATGTACTGTACTGTACTGTAATGTACTGTAAGTATGTAGGTTCTGATGACTTAGGACTTGTGCCCCTCTAGTGACATACGATTTTGTGCACCAAGTCCTGCGCATGTATGTAATATAATTTACTGTAATGTGCTGTAATGTAATGTAATGTACTGTAGTGTGATGTAATGTACTGTACTGCATTGTAGTGGTGTAATGTACTGTACTGTAATGTAATGTAAGTATGTAGGTCCTGATGACTTATTAAGAGGAGGATTTTTTTTTACCCTAAAAAGTGCTTGAGTCCCGTCACAACCGAGTGACTTAGGACTTGGTGCACACAAATCACCTGGTAAGAACACCAGTGACTTAGGACTTGGTGCGCAAAATCCTTTGTCACTATGCTGGCCTAAGTCCTAAGTCATCAGCCCGAAATATACTATTAGAGTAGTGATGCATTACTTCTCTATCTCTTAGGATGTTACTACCAGTGGTCAAACACACACACACACATATACACATATCTATATCTACTATATATATATATACACATATACATATACATACAACTGTAGTTGGGATTCGGCTAACAACAAGTAGATATATGATATAACCATATATATATATATATACATAATCATACATATATAAGTTGATAAATAGCCAACAACATATGGGAGAGTTGGAAAAACCAACTGATGATTTTTGTTGTTTTGAAGAACCTCATCTAGTGCTGGCACATCGATTGCTTTGAGGTCGTGGCAGGCGACGTCACTGAGGCGGAAGTTGGGGGACGGATTCACCCGAAAACATGGGAAGATGATGGAATACGTGGAACCATGGGAACTACCCTCTGGTAATTTAACATAGCTATGGAAAATCACCATGTTCAATGGGAAAACTCACTATAAATGGCCATTTTCAATAGCTATGTTAGTTTACCAGAGGGTATCTTCTAATATTTACCCAGAAAACATGGAAAATATGGGAAGAAACCCAGTTCCCAAAGTCCCAGTTCGAGTTCCAAAGACACCAACTTAGAACTGGGGAAGCATGGCTAACCATGGGAACGAGAGCATTTTCATGCTGCATGGCCTTTTCAGATCGATGGGCGTCGCCTGTTGCCAGGTGAAAAACATGAGTCTCGGCTGCGGCACTGACAGGTGCGTGAAAACAACAAAGCATCATTCACAGGAAAATGATGGAAAATGCCTGCCAATTGCTCAGATCTTAGTGTATAGCTGGCTCACTCGCCTCACACTATGGTCGACTATGGTTACGTGGAACCACGTGGAACCCCTTAAAATCGCATCGTTTCAGGCCTGGGAATTGATGGCTGTTGCTACTTTCAAAGATCTTTTGACTAACCATGACTAGCCTTTTTGGGTCTGATGCTCCTGCATGACTACAGCAGTGTTTTCAGGTCATGTTGCAATCCCCACCCGGTGCTGCTTGGTGCCGCAGCCTGATAAACCGAGATTTTTGCCACCGCGATTTGCCGCGCCAGCGTTACATGTGACAGTTGGATACGTGCCCATGAACTAACACAGATCATGTCAACCCCAGATGAAAATCATCCCTGGTTGATTGTGTAAGAAAGGGTTGTACCCCAAAAGGCGATAAAACATGTTAGATAATGTTTACACACACGCAAATATATATATATATATAATATAATATTATATTATATTATGTTATATTATATTATATTATATTATGTTATGTTATGTTATGTTATATTATGTTATGTTATGTTATGTTATGTTATGTTATATTATATTATATTATATATTATATACACGCATACATGTCTTAATGGTGCACCCCAAAATTCTTGACAGCCCACGGATTTCCCAAACTCCGGGGTTGACATTGCAAAATGACCAGGTGGAAGTCGAAACTCTCGTTTGCTGAGTCCGTCATTTTCCCATCTATTTCCCAATGGGAAGGACAATTCACCAAACTTGTGGAATCTACTGTGTGTGTTTTTTTCTTTTAAGCAAATCCCAGATCAAGAATAATTGGCAGGGATCAGTGTTCGACCCTTTTTGGTTGATCCCTTTACTCCAGACTCATGGCATTCTGAGAGTGAACCTGAGAGGGTTTAAGCGTGGGCATGGGATGTGTCATACAACACCTGAGTATCTCCCTACTGGGAGCTGGGTATCAAGGATCCTTGCCTCCGTATTGAGGTAGCCTTAGGCTTGGCTGGCAGCTAAATCGCAGCACCATGCCGGTGTGATATGTCAACTCAGAACATACTGCCGGGAGAAATTTGGGCGGCGTTTAGCCGCACAACCGCTATAGACCGAAGGGGCCGTTTCCCGCTGCTATCGGGAAAATGCGGTGCAAAGAGTGGGGTTGGGATGAAGCTGGCAGCCATGAACTTGCAGCCCTGAAAATACCACGGATAGATTGACCAAGGAGTCCTAGCGAGCTTTAGCCATCTGGAGGGGTTCATCTCCAGTGGAAACCATCAAAGCCTCAAGTGTTCAGATGGATTTTCCGACCACATCCACAACATGCCCCAGCTGTTCTTGTCCAAAAATAGTATGCCCGTTCATCGTCCATCTCTCCATTCGACAGAGCAACATGGGAAGTTGGGCACACAGGGTGCGCCATTTCTCTGGGTAAATTAGACGCACCTCACAACGAGCAGTAGGGGAGATCATCCATGTGTTGCGCAGCACTTTCTGGCTTGAGCAAGAGATGGAGAAGCGGCCCATCATGGACTCATAATGACTGGGCCTGGCTTAGGTACAAAAATTGAGTGCTAGGTCAGTAAATAAATAAATAAATAAATAAATAAATATATATATATATACATATGATCATATGTGAAAATATTCAATGGTCTGGTCTCTGTAGTTCCGAATTCAGGAACATCTAGAAATTCTACAAATATCCTGCCGTTGAAATTGAATGTTTTTAGCCTTTCAGATGGCCATGATTGATCCAGCTGGCTAGGCGACTGCGGCGACTGCACATCCCCCGGACCAGACCTGATATGGAGTGCCATGGTTAAGTTAGTTGGATTAGATTGACATAGATTAACCCAACTAGCTTGATTAACCATGATTAACATTGGCAACTGATCAGATTAGATTAACCATGATTACTAATTACCCCAAAAATTATATGTGGGATGGTCGCCAATCCATTCATGGGGAGTTACTGTATATGCCCAGCATACGGACTTCGGCAGCCATTGGATGGCCATGACCAGCTGCGTGCGACTCATGGCGTGATGTCGCTGGGACGTGCCTTGGAAACCGCCTTGCACGCGGCGGAAAAGTCCAAGGGGGGCGTCAAACGCAGCTTGGCAGCGTGGATACCGTGGATACATGTGGATACCAGATTCTTCGCATTGCCCAAGTTCCCAAATGACAGCACAAATGATTGCCTGATATTGCCTGGCTGATTTGCTTGATGGTTAGCTGCTACATTCTGGAGGTGCCTGGCTGAAACGAAGTTTGGTTCCAGATTGTGGTGAACCGAACCTGCCATGAAATCGTTTCAGATTTACCCAGGCTTGCACTTGGACTATCTCGACGCTTATGCGGGGCTTACGGAGTTGCATGGCCTTATGGGCAGTGTCCTAGATGGTTGGCATATATGTACGTAATTATGTACACACACATATTACTAGTATATATAATATATATATATAATTATGTATATATATATATACATAATAATAAATAACAAATAGTATATATATATATTTATACATGCACATATATTATCATTATAGGTGGTGGAAAAGAGGAGCTTACCGTCCGGTAATCAAATAACATGGCAATGGAAATCCCCAGGAATGACTTTTCCATTAAAACCTCTTTAGGGATTTGAAATTGTAATGTTTGATTATACCCTCCTGAAAACAAGAAATTTTGAAATCAACAAGGGCGTCAAGAAGATCATGTTCCAATTGGAAAACACGATGTATGGCTTCTGTGGCAGTTTCTAGAGATGGTAAGCACCTTGGTGAAGATACGTTACAACAGCTAGTTCTGAAAGCTGTTCATCGATGGATCCGTCTGAAATTTCACCAAGCATGGCTCGTATTTCTGGGGAATTTCTGGCGACCGGCCTGGTCCAGATATTGGGCCCCTTGCACTGGCGATAGGTCGGGAGGTCAGGGATTTGGATCAATGTTGATCACGATTTTGGACTTCGAAGAGTTTCAGGCTATGGAAGCTTTCATTCCCAGCTGTCGAGCCAACACTTTATTAAACTTTCGGCCAGAAATTTCGAGGATAGCCATCATAGCCATCCCAAATTGGTCTTTGCTCGGGGTATTTCTTTCCTAAAAAATAGCTGTGATACTGACTCTTCAAGGTCGATCTTGAGTCTGCAAGGCATTGCAAGGTCGATCTGTAGTCACTACAGTCAAAACATGAGTTTCCAAGCCATTCCAAGTGACGCTTTCAGTCTGACTTTCATGCCCTGGATGCTCAAAGTCAGCCTTGAAATGGTCACAGAAAACCCCAGGCCCTGCACATGATCAGTTGTGTTAAATTTCCGTGGGCAAAGGATGGCTTCTGGGTCTGGGGCATTTCACAAAAGGCCTCCTGGTGCCTCAAATGTTCATCCGACCCAGTGGGTTTGTCTGAAAACATGGCACCCCAAATCCAATGATGTTCATCACCACCACCACCACCACCACCACCACCACCACCAGCAGCAGCATCATCATCATCATCATCATCATCATCGTCATCGTCATCGTCATCGTCATCGTCATCGTCATCGTCATCGTCATCGTCATCGTCATCGTCATCGTCATCGTCATCGTCATCGTCATCGTCATCGATCCCTATTAAATACCAATTGGGATCCATTGGGGGTATCCCCCATTAAACCCATTTAATCCAATGAATATGTAAATTCCTTCATCAATATCGAAATCTTGGTATCTGCAGCACCCCTATTTCTGGACAAATCCAAGTAATCCAAGCAGACACATCGAAGCAATGGTCTTGCGGGGTTTGATCTCACGGCCATTTCACAGTAACTGGAATTTTGTACTCAGCTGGCATATGATAACATGGACCCACTTGGAAACCGTGGTTTCGCCGCAAAAACATGTTGTGGCTTCCTGATAGAAAATAAATGAAAATCACATCACCCCTTTCGACAGCTTTGGGGCTGTTTGTAGCATTCTTTTCTGCAAGCTGGTGCCCCGTTCAGAAAAGTTGGTTTGCACACATACACACACACATATGTGTGTGTGTTTGTATATATATATATTTCTAAAACCAAGACTATCTATCTATTGAGCTACTAAAAAAAAACAAATATATACTGTAATCCAACCCCATCCAATCTACCTACCCGCCAATTCTGCCCAGTTCTATCGGGCCCAACTCGGCCCTTTAGGAAACCGTCCCTGACTCACGCGGTCCTCTTGCTGGATCACCTTCGAAAGGTCAGTATTTTCGTTGGATGATTTGCCGCTAGCTAGCCTTGACGACCGGAAAGAGAGTTGTCCGGTGAATCTTGGAGGTAGTCTTTGTGAATGGATGTTTTAACCAACAGCAAGATGAATTTATAATGATTTACCCCCTGGTAATTCAACATAGCTATTGAACATGACCATTTATGGTGGATTTACCCATTGAAAATGGTGGATCTTTCCCATCAGTTATGTGAACGTTTACCAGAGGGTATAGGAATTATTGCTTGGGAGAATGATTGGAATATGGCTAGCTGGAAATCCCCAACAGAAATATGGAGGTTTTTGGCTGGGAAAATGTGGCCGCGAACAAGCCATGTTGATTTTTTCCGGCCATGGTCAAAGTGGGATGGATGGTTTGGCACCTTGATCTTCGCGACAAAAATGGGGAGGTATCCCCTCTGGTTATTTAACATGGCCATGGAAAATCACCATTTTTAATAGGTAAACCAGCTATAAATGGGCCATTTTCCATGGCTATGTTAAATAACCAGAGGGTACTAACTAGCCGATTGGTGGTTTGGAACTTTTTTTATTTTTCCCAATAGTTGGGATGATGATCCAATCTGACTAATATTTTTCAGAGGGGTTGAAACCACCAACCAGCTAGCTAGCCAATTTCTTTGGGCATGAAATATCTAAGAAATGAAGATAGTATCTAAGATATATCTATTTTTCATGGCCAATCATGATATCTATTTCTTGGGTATCTAAGATTGGCCACGAAAAATGGATGATTGAAAACATTTGAAAACTATTGAAAACGACTCACATCAGAAAAGGAGGTTGGAGCCACCCAGAAACATGGAGCACCAGCGATGGACTATGATCATCTATGATCCAATGTTGCGGAGTTGGTGAGGTTATTTGAAACATACACCCATCCCAACTTGGGGATAAATGGCTTAGCCATTTGGGATGGGATGAATTCATATCCCGCGCAAGATTCGCACTTGATCCTGGCTTGAAGCAACTGGCGATGACATTCCATGGTTCATGAAGCTATTGTAATACACCGTACTGTTGTCATGCCCAGCACTTGAACGTCCATGTCAAAGCGGTAAGTTGAACCCTGAAATCCCCATTTCTCTCGATTCCAGCGAAGATCTGGCCGAATTCCTGGATTTTGGCCATCCCAAAGGGATAGAGCAATGAAGCCCTACCGAAAAATCGGAAATGGGGGGGCTCAACCACAAGTAATAAACCAGTTATGGGATACACCCTATAGTTTCACGGGTTAGCGTTTATTAGCAACTGAGTAAAAAGATCTTGGCTACAGAAATCCCAATAGAATCAATGACACATCCTAATCATCCTAATTTTCCAATCTTAAACAGCTGTTGTTATGTCCACATCTCCCAACTTGGCAACGTCTCGCATCAGGCTCGGCAAGAGCTGGCGGCGCAAGGTGTCAGCTTAAACCGATGGGAAAGGGACTGCAAACATCACCCAGGTGCGCGGGAATTGGCGTGGGGCCTTTCCCAAAACTGGGGGGGACACCTGGGCTTTCCACATTTTTTTTGTAAAGCAGGATGGTACCCTCTGGTAAACTAACCTAACTATGGTTCAATCTATGGAAAATCACCATTTTTAATGGGTAAATCCACAAAAAACCAGAGGGGCACCGTCCATTTTTTGAGAACGAAAAACCACTCGGAGTGCAGATCCCTGGAGTCCCACTGGAATGTGCCTGATGACTTGAGGAGACATGGTCATTGATTGAATTTCAATGAGTTTCAGTTTCAGGGGGTCTTGAACACATCCCCGTATCGCCTGACTTTTTTCTGGAACATCGTAGAGTGCTCTCGCAGTCACGCAGGGGCCCTTCCGGACGAGGCTTCGCAAAGTTTCGAAGCGAGATCTTGGAAGGGAACGAGTTGGACACGAGCAACAGCGACACCATTACTCGGATCTACCAAAACCTGCGCAGGTACCTGATGGAGTTGTGGCGGGGTGGTTGGGAAAGATTGGGAAAGTTGGAGACTGGATTTTGACAAACTCTTGGGCCAAGCTACGACACTTTTTTTTTGTGGAACCATTTTTCATGGTGGGTTGTCAGAAGCATGCGCCCAACAAGTTGGCCAATAGCCATCTAAATGGTTTAAATGTGACTGGTTGGTGCGGTTGGTTCAGCTCTTTTAACTATTGAGAATGATTCCCCCAATCATTCCCAAAAGCTACCAGAAATGAATATCTTCAATACAGAACCGGGGACGGTATTATATTATATGAGGGGGGGTCTACATGTGTCTACAATTTGGGAAATGGCATTCATTGGCTGTCATACCTTCACTGTTTCTGGTTCTATGTCCATTGTTCTTACGATTTCTGCGGCCTTCCTGGTTTTCGTCAGTTCTTTTTTTTCCCCCTTCAACAGTTCCCATCCTTCCCAAAAACATCCCAAAACAAGAAACAAACAATAAAAACACCTTCGAAATTTCCCATCCCCCCAAAAATTCCCAAACAACAAAAACACACCAAAAAAAAAACACCAGCGCCATTTTTGTGGCACAGCTGGTCCAAAATAGGATGAACTTCCTCGACGACGCCAGCCAGTTTTGGCCGCGCGTGGCGCAGACTTTGGAAGGCGTTGAGGGCGATTTAGCGTGGATAGCTGGAAAAAACTATGGGAACATCATCTATAGATGGAGGTTTTACCTATGGTTTTAATAGGAAAATCATCTCTAGATGGAGGTTTCTAGCTGGGAAAATCAACTATAACTGCTGGTTTTCATGGGAAATCACATAAATATGGAAATTTAATGAAATTTAAACGAGAGAATCATCGATTAACTGGTGATTTTCCATTGCCATCTTTGACTACCCTCTGGGGTAGATTCGGGTGTTGATGGGTGGAAGGAAGAATTTGATCTGGACACCAGAGTCGATCTGGGTCTAACCAACTACTGTAAAGGGCTGATAACCAACTTGTTTATACCAACTCAAATGGTGATATTCCCATGATGATTGGATTGGTTTAAGGGAAAATTTACAGGAAACCATAGATTTTCCCATTAAATATGGGGCTTTACTGCAGATTTTCTCTTAAACCAATCCATTCCCATGATTTCCCATTCAATGATGGGTTCAACTCTGTTCACCAGCGATTTTTTGGAGGCCCAGGGCCCCAGGGCCCTGGGGCCCCAGGGCCCTGGAGGGCCCAGGGATCCACATCTCCCCAGCGGTGGAGGCCCACTTCGACGCCATGAGCTACTCCGGATCTGGGCCGTGTGTCCACCGGAGAAGCTCCCGCAGCTGGACGTGGCACTCAGCGAGGCCGCGAAAAGGGGGGGAATTGAAGCAGCACCGGAGATTTGGGGTCATTTTTTTGGGGGAAAACCAGGGAAAACACGGTGAAAAACCGGGTTTGAGCAGAAAACATGGAGACTTTAGCTGGAAATTGGCGGGATTGATTCCAGAAATCTCAGTAAACCTTGGTGAAAAGTAGCTTATATGTTCAAACTTCTTTCCTATAAGTACGGAGTATGCAAGATTGGCCATGAAAATTGGCAAACGTGGTGAACCCAAGAGACGCTTTGCATGGGTTTTACCATTTTTTTGGGGTACTCAAAACCATGTCCAAGGGAGACCATATGAGACTTCATGTTTTTTCATGGCTTGGACCGTTGGACGAATCATCCAGTATATGGAATCTCGTGGAGCCATGGCGCCCAGGCCCTTGTTTCAAGTGCCGTGGACATGAGGCAAATTCTGTCTGCTGCTGGTCTGCAGTGTGACAGCCGAGGGCAAGTGGAGCGCTAGCGGCTACGCCGGGTACGGATGCTCTTGGCTTGAAGCAATGATGATGTCTTTTCTGGCCCTACTCCGGTTGACACACACACACATTCACAGCAAAATCACGTCGTGTTTTGATAAGCTGAAACAGAAACGCACAGAAACCGTTCCATCTTTTTTCCGTCCTGTCGACAGCCTGTCGACTCCTACTGGGTCCCTGAGGCTTTGTCGCGGACGGGTGGTTTGCCCCAAAACGAAAAGTCCAAGACCCTGAAAGTGTGCCTGGAGCGCGTGACGAAGATGGTCGAGGCTGGCGAATCCATCTACGAATATCTACGATATGAATCAATATGATTTAATGGTTACCTGGTAACCCAATTTATCAATAGGGCGGGGAGACGATGTGAATTATTGCGATTTCACTTAGCCTAGGGTAAAGTAACATAGTGGAAAACCCATGGTTTCCCTAGGAGAATGACATACGTTCATGGTGGGGAAGCAAATCGATGGAGCTGCGCCAGGCCTCGCAGGTGAGCATGGAGGACTCCCATTTCCAGCTCTTCGAATCGATTTTTCTCTTTTTTAGGTGCAAAAAAAAGCAGTAAAGTAAATTCACATGTAAATATCAGATGTAAATTCTAAATCTCAGAGCTTTTTTGTATCTTTTTGTGGCTTTAAACATCTTTAAACGTTAGACTCCGTCAGACGGTCACCAGGGTCGGGTCACCACGGTCACCAAAAACCAAAAAACCAGGACATTGCGACCATCCTCTACCGGCTCCACGTGGCCACCCACAGCCAGGCCGTGTCAACTATATCATGACTATATCCAATATGAATACATGTGTATATATATATATATAATTATATATAGTGTATATATATAATTATATGATATGCATAAGTGTACGTATAGAATGTGAATTTCTGGTAGTTACTTTTTTTAACGGAACAAATTATGATCAATCAAACTAAGTAGTATGCTATTTTCAGACGCACTTTATATGGCAGTTTCCATAGAGCATTTTTTTCAAGTGAACTTCTGTGCGCGAATGTGTACTATCACTTGGTGTATTACTTGTCCCTATTTTAATTTGTTGATCCCCTGGGATATGTAGATTTATACGCAAGCAATTTTCCCAATGGAGTTCGTCACAAAAAAGGGGATTTCAGGGACAAAGATGTGCATTTAATCAAAAAAAATCGCATAGATGAGGACAGAACATCGGGGAGGAACTAAGAGACATGAGGAAATTGTTTGCATGTTTATTTTTTGTTTATATCACCATTAAACATTGGGGTTACAGAGTCAACAATTGGACCCTCACAATTAAGCTTCCAGACTCCCAGGACAGCAGCTCCCCATTGTGATGGGAAACGCATGAAAATCAATAGACATATTGACATATCTATATCCATATTGCATACAGCACACAAATAAGTATATAAATAAATGGATAAATAAACAATAAATGAATAAATGCATAATCAATCAATAAATAAATCAATAAATAAATCAATAAATAAATCAATAAATAAATCAATAAATCAATAGATAATTAATTGCATACCAGGATGTCCAAACGGGTGTCCAATAAGCACCCCTTAGGACGGGTGTCCATTAGGCACCCCTTAATTTTTAAGGTCCTGAACTAACAGATAATGAGGTATTCATAGTAATATGTGCATTTTTCTTTGATTTCCCCACGTTTGCTTCCAGAAATGCGTGTCATTTCGTGTCATTGCCCTATCGTGTCGGTCAAAAGGGGTCACGAGTTTTTTTTTAGAAATCAAGAAAAACATGCGTGTCATTGCTTGTCATTGCCGTGTCGTGTCTGTCAGTAGGACGGGTGTCCAATAAGCACCCCTTAGAAACGTGTCGGGTGCTTTTTGGACAACCCCTGCGCGTGTCATTTCGTGTCAATTTTGACTAGTTTGTTTAAACTCGGGAACATTTTACATCTGACACGAAATGACACACATGCATTTCTTCTCGCCAAAAATGAAGTCAGGTGCACCACAGATGCCACGCGGGTAGGATTGGAAGATTTCGGGTTGGAACTGATCATTTCTAGTGTGCCATCTCCATGAACGCTAAGGGGTGTCCATTAGGCACCCCTTAAGAATCTCAATTTTTGAAATTCATTAGGCACCCCTTTGACGTGCTGGTATATATATAATATATGTATTATGTATGTATATGTATTCATTATATAATTATCGTTATTATTGCTACTATTATTATTAATATTCATATGTCAGCTTTGTCAGCAACACTTGAACCCACCTTTCAAAAAAAGGGGAGAGTCATGAGTAAAGATAGTAAAGCTTCACCCGCCGCCTCTCGCAGAAGTTGAGTGGCTTGAAGCCAACTATGGAGAAGATCAAAGAGAAACTGGTCTTGCGCCTCGAAAAGGAGAAACAGGCGGCAAGCGGTACCTTGGCACGGCTTGGCACGGCTCGGCACGGCTTGGCTGTGGAGCATCGAGGCTTGATGAAACCTGGAAAATCCCCAAAAATCAGAGGGTTTGATTTGAATGGGAAAATCATGGGAAAACCATGGGACAATACATTATAAATGGTGATTTGTGAATCGCCTATGGCTCAGAAAATCCCAGCATTTACTTCGATGAATTTCCCAGCTCATAGGCCTCCCATTCCGGCGGTGCTAGATCCTCCTTCTTGGCTCTCCCACAGGACAATAACTGGAACTGCATAACTCGACAGTGTCACAAGATTTCACCATTTTTATGGGTTAACATATATGGACTATGGAGTTTTTTTGAGGGGTTCAGCAAGAACTGCACGGACCATTGGCTCATGAATAGCGAGGTGCGGAGTTGCAGGTGGGCAGCATCTGCCGGCTGCTGCCGTGTCTGGGGCAGAAAGATGAGGTGCTGTGGTCCCTGCTAAGGCGTGGAGATGGTGTGGAGATGGTGCGGAGTGGCCGGGATTTGGTTGGGGGTTTGATTTCTATTTTTGTGTCTAACGAGTGGAAAAAATCCGATTCTGGTTGATTTCAGCTTCAAAAAATACTTTTGGGTGGTTTCAACTAATGAGTTTTTCAAACACACACACACATAATATGCGTGTGTGTATGTGTGTGTGTGTGTGGGTTTCATTATTGCTGCTTGGAATCATGATTTAAAATTGGCTCATATTTGTCACCTGGGTTTGCTAACGGTTTAAACCAAAAGCTAGGCAGTGATGGCTCAGCTGAATTACCCTTCAAGAGGATCCTCCAAGTTGAAGGTGCTCGAAGATTTTGATTTCATTTCAGTATGGTTCTTCATCATCATCATCATCAACATCATCAACAACAACAACAATAACAACATCAACAATGATTCATTCATCCGTCCGTCCGTCCGTCCGTCCGTTCGTTGATTCGTTCGTTCGTTCATTGATCCGTTTTTTTTATTCGATTCAGTCAGTCAGTCAGTCAGTCAGTCAGTCAGTGAGTCATTAAGTCATTCGTTCATCCATCCATCCCATTCCATCCCATCCCATCCCATGCCATTCCATCAATTGCATCCATTCCATCCATCATCATTTTGATTTCGGCTGGCTCAGGGACCAGATCTTGAAAGACAAAAAGATCCCGCAGCACGGCAGCAGTTTGTTTGTTTTTTTTGTCTTGGTAGTAGGTGTATGGCTCAGAGGCAACCCAATGCCAGAAACAACTACCATTTGGGGATGTCTCCCATACAAAGCATAGACATGGTGATGACGTTTATGGCAGTGGGTTTATCACTTGAGTGGATATTCCATGATATTCTGCAAACCTTGGGGGTTTTTCATGGTGGTTTAATGGAGATTTCATTGAAAAATAAAGGGGATATAATCTGATGCAGGGGGATATCAACCATATCAACCAGCATGGCAGTCATCCATCCGGGATCGGATTCGTGAAAAAAAACCATGGGTTTGGATCATTCTGTGGGTCTAGTAAATTTGATGCGTACAAATATGGGTATGGGCCAACAGCCTGGAAGTATGTTTTTTTGTTTTTTGGTTTTTTAACAGCAACATAGCTGGCAAACTCATGCTAGAAGACGAAAGATGCATTACCTGCACGAGGTTCGAAGATGCTGAGATCTCTTGCCTTGGCTCCCTGGGCGCGTCGGTTTCCTCGGCCGAGGTTGACGAATTGTTTGGACATCCTGGAGTTTCTACCTCAAGCGCCACGAAAGGAGGGGCAAAGCCACTGGGTCAGCAGTCATGATAGTTCTGTTGGCCCCCTGGCAATGCAAACTGGGGTTGAGCACTGGCCCCAGCTAGGGATTTCTACAAATGAGATGAGAATATATTTTGATGTCAGCATCGTGGGATTGGAGTTTTTCTTTCATGGCTTGGGATATGGATAATTTTTTCAATCTCAAATCCAATTTTTCCGTCTTCAATCCGAACGTATGAAGTTTTTTTCCTCTAAAAATTCAATCTCGATTTCCAACTTTTGAAGCTTCCAAGTGAAATCATGCGAGTTTTTCCCATTGATTCACCTGAAGCAACATCAAATCCCTGGGGATTTGGTGGATTTTTCACCAAATCGGAGGCGAGTCCCAGCTTCGGAGTTGGATCTCCAAGCGGATGGAGCTGATGCTGTCGAAGGGTCAGGCACTGCCCCAGGACCTGGCGATCATCACCAGGACCGCGACGTGGTGACGTGGTGAAGCGACGTTGGGGACCGAGACGTAAATCTCGGGTTTTTCATATGATTTATGGTGATTTATAGGGATTTCTAGGGTAAATTGGAGTTGACATAGTTGGTATTGTAGGGATTTTCTGGATATTTATGGAAATCTATAGTGATGCAATATTTGATCCACGGTTGAAATATGTTGGAATCATCTGGAATCATAATCCCGAATGTGGTTGAACAAGCTGTTGGGGATTTTTTTCTATGACATAGTAAGAGCATGTAAGAGCACATCATATAAAAATGGAGCTTAGCGGATGAACGTGATTTCTATTTGGAATACCCTCTGGTGAACTAACATAGCAATGGAAAATCACCATTTTTCATGGGAAAATCCACTATAAATAGCCATTTTCCATAGCTATTTTGACATAACCAGAGGGTAGTCACCTCAAATATCGGTCCAACGAATCGTCACATGACTGGAGGCGTTTGGAGCTGGTGGCGCCGCTGAAGAAAGTCTGCCAAGCCCTGATGAACATGGCCATCAACCTGCGGCAGGCGGTAGCTGTTGTGGGCTGGGGAGATCGATGAATCCATGAAGAATCGATGGCGAATAATGAGAACAAAAGAAGCCAATGATGGCATGAATTTTGGCCGGAGGTTTCACGCATTTGATTTTTTCCGTTTCAACGTGTTTCAACCTGTTTCAACCCTAAAAAACGGGATGCGAATCACCAGTGGTGACTCGTCATTTTCCCTGTTAACATAGCCATGTTTTGAACATACCCCATTTCTAGACACGCCAAAATTGTTAACCTGTGCATATGTCGGAGGATGCTGACTTTTTGGGCTTGGAAACCGTCAAGCTTTTGATAATCCGCTCGATGATGCTCCATTTGCTCCATGATTTTCAGGGTTTGAAGGTCAAATGCCGCAATGTTGATCCACATCCCCAAGTTTTGCTGGTTTGGATCCTGGCTTTTCTTGGCTAAATTGGTGAACATGTTAGAACCAACTTTTAGGAGCAATTCATCCCGTAAAAAATGCATCCATTTTTTCCGGGTCGACATCCCCTAAGTTTGGGTTGTTTGGATCTGTTTCAATTTTTTTTTTGGCCAGACAATGGTAACTTGGCCAGACAATTTGTTCATGATTTTTCTAGGTTAACTGCATATATAATCCCTTCCCCTTCAGTTTAGTCATTTATGAGGGCATTGAATATTGGGTGGATGGGATTCAGAATTACCAACCATCATTGACCATGATGATGGGATTGGACAAAAAATATTCCTATACTATATTACATTACCGTTGATATTCCATTCATATCCCATGCCAGTTATAGTTATATTATGTGATGTTACCAATAAGATATCGCCATGAAAAATTCCACCGAATCGTCCGCAAATTTTCGCAGCGAATGGGGGATGGGATTCATGATTTTTAAACCATTGTTAATGGGTATTTGTCATGTTAGTTTAGCAGAGGGTAATGACTATGGGCCATGATCAACCATTATTCACCATTGCTGGCTGTGAGTAGTCCATTCAGCTGGTTTTTGGATCGTCTCAATCGTCTCCGAGTTTTCAGGACTTGTACCCAGCGGTGCTTTGGCGCTTCTTTGTACGCACAGGTGGGAGCAATCTGGTCAGGCAGGCGATGGAAAGCCAGAAATCTACCATTTGGGGATGGTTTGACCCATAGACATGGTGATTTTGGATGATTTTTGGGATGGTTTATTGGGACATGATCGATATTCTCTATGGACAATGCGGGAATTTCAGGAGCTAGGGACCGAATTACCCAACCATGTGATGGGTATAGAGTCGCTGTTTGGTGCTCTGAATGTTGCTAAAATCATTGTAGCTACCCTCTAAATATCTCTGAATGGGATATATATATATATACTCCATTCGTCCCGTCCCCCAATCATCCCCAATCATCCCCAATCATCCTTAGCCACCAGAAAAAAAAACGGTCGCCCAAAGTCTCCGAATTAGTAAGTATTGACAGGCCTTACCCCCATACTTGATGGGAAAAAGCCGCCAGCCTCCCGCTTTCTGCACCCAAAGTCTCGATGGTTTGAGATCCTTTTCAAAGGGCCAGCCATTGGTGGGTTCAAACAGACATGCCGCAATGAATTCACTCACAAAGAAACAGATCCATAGATATTTGAAGTAGAAAGCGGTATCCGTTCGAACAGAGATTCATGGAAATGTTACATGAATTCATATCACTGACTTAAATATCTGAGAATGGTTATAAAATGTTATAAGTTATACCCTCTGGTAATTTAACATAGCTATTGAAAATGGCCATTTATAGTGGATTTTCCCATTAAAAATGGTGATTTTCCATAGCTACGTTAAATTACCAGAGGGTAACATATATAACATATATATAAATCAAATATCAATTGATTTGCACTAATTACTGGTGTATCATGGTGTATCCCAGTCCTCCAGGTGAAGCCGGTCTGGCTGAGCAGAACCAACTGATGTCCAAGTTTCACCGCATTGGTGCCTTAGACCGAAGATGGGGCCACGTCGAAAGTTTTCTGCTGCAATTTTTTCATTTATTTCGCATTTTGGAAAGAAGAACGTCGAAAGCTCAGAATATTTTGGAGATGATTTTCTCGAAGAAACATCGTTTTCTAAAAGCCGTGAAAGCCGACTCCAGACCTCAGACAATGGATGGGGAACTAAGGGGACTAAGGGGAAACCGAAAAAATCGCGACACATTTCAGGCTGGTGAACTATACCTCCATTTAGTTCCATGTTTTTTCCAGAAAGCTCCATTTTTCTTGGGGATTTTCTTGATTTTCCAGCCACGTTTGACACCAGAGGGTATCTTAGCCGCTACATTTCAGCAACTTTGAATGGGACGATGTTCGATTTAGGGCTCGCATCCATCAACTTATTGGATAGTTATTGTTAGAGCAATCACAAAAAACGATAAAAAAATAAAGAGAGCAAATTATTCTTCTATACTTTCTATTCCTACTACTTTCTTATCTATTTGGGGTAGCTACATCAGGGACCAACAAAACACACCAAAACCCTGATGAGTGGAATCGGTGCAATCGCAGCGATATGAAATGAGGCGAAATCCTGGAGGGGCACGGCATTCAGCGGGAAAAGATGTCCATGAAAGAAATGCTGAAGTGCCAGATCTGAGAGGGGCAATGGATTGGTTGAAGGGAAAACATGCGGGCAACTCGTGGCAACTCGTAGCGGCTATGTCCTTTTTTCACTTGCACCCAAAAAACTTACAGTAATGGATCACACCTGGCGATCTTTCTAGGCATTTATGTCATGTCGCGACCCCACTGGCCGACTTCATTGTATAGTTGTGATTCGTAGTTGTGATTCTCCCAACATTTCTTATCTGGGTTCTTTGGGACGCAGCCAATGCTGCATGGAGAGCCAGCACAAATGGGGATTGCTTTGGAATTGGATGTTGAAGGAAGAGTGGCTTAAGGGACCGGTGGATCATTAGTTTTTATGTGTGAGTGATTTTCATGGGGGAATGCTACATACCTCACGCACGAACAACATTTTGTCGGGGCAGGGTACGTTTATGGAATCTAGTTTTGGCAAAGGCCAAAGCCTCAAAAGATAAACTATATATGATGCCGATTTTTTAGGGTTATACTTTATACAATCAGCCAATGCTTCAAACATCCTCGAAGCACCAAAAAAAATGTGGGTGTCTCAAAATGTCTCAAACTGGCCCTGCAAATTACCACTTCGATGGCTTCATAATCTTCATTTCGTCCCAATAGTCCCAGGATTTTTTGGTGTCAAAACTCTCAGGTCTGCTGAAGCCATGCGACGCAACAAGGCGTGGGACTGTGTAGCCATTTAACCCCCGAGTGTGGGCAATTTTATTGGGATGATGGAAAATGATGATAGTGGATTTCGTGCATCATTTTGAAATGGAACTTTTTTGTTTCCTTCATTTTGGGAATGCCCGCCACAGCGAACCTTTTTGTTGGGACAATGTCGGGTGGTTTGCCCATCTTTAGGCGGAAAAGCAATGGTTTCCCGCAAGATATATTATCCTTGAAACGAAACCAATGACTAAGCAAATATATTCATTCTTGATGCTTGCGGCATTAGATATTCTATCAATTTCATTGTTGGTTCAACACCATGAAACCACTTGGTTGAGGTTCTGGTAGCTCTTCTCTATTTCCCCTGGTAGCTTTGGTCAAAAAACAGGTCAAGATGCCGAAAGTTCTGGAGCAAATGGCCCAGATTTTCTTAGAGACCTTGCAGCACGCGCAGCGTCATGTGAGCGGCAGCCTTGGTGCATCTGCAGGATGTTTTTTTTTGACTTTATGGTACTCCACAAAAAAGTCATTTTTTTTGGGACATTGTGAACCGTTTATTTAGTTGAAGCCAGGTACTCAACCAGTTTTCGGGAAATTGTGGAGTTTATCCATAGTCGAAGGGGGGGTGCCGTGTATATACAATCAACATGTATAGTTGTATAGAGATGTGTCCAACATGTCTCCGATTGCATGTGGGCAGTTAGATATACATCAACACCATCAGCTGTGTGGTAACTGTCAGAAGTCCCCCGCTCGAAGTCCTGGGCAGTTGCGACTGGTCTTTTTGTTCATTTTCCGTCATCTATCTACCTATATATCTAGCTATATATCGATCTTAAATCTTAACCTTAATCCAAATCTAATCTTATTCTTATCACAAATTGGTCTCTCTGTTTGTTTGTCATGTATCATCATAGTAATCATATATTAGGGATTATCATTAGGGGAATGTTTTTTTTTCCGGCACTTACCAAAGCCAGGATTGGCCCCTTCGTGGTGATCTTCAGCGCCCCCCCAAAAAGTATAACAATCCCCAAATCTTATCCAGCAAACTGACTTAAACATGAGGTAGCGAGGATGCCGGCGACCTCCCGCTCGCCGGGGCGGAGGAAGGGGTGGAGGCGGGTCTGCTAGATGCTGCAAGATGCCAGAAATGGGTTAATGACTCGGTCAGATGGTCATAAAATGTCAGACACCATAACAAAAGCCCAGGAAATAAGTTGGGTAAGAAGATGCCAGGAATACTTTTCTTATCTTTTATGATGTGCATCGATCCAAAGCCTGGTCAGGCTCACGCGGAAGCTGTGAAGGAGGGAGAGGACTCCAAGTTGGCCCAGGAGCAGATGAAACCATCCATTTTTGGGCGTAAGATGATTCAGTCCCAGATCCACTCGCTGAACATGTTGGACCCTGGAGGTTTGGGGGCCGCTGGGCCTTTGGATATGAGATTTTCGATATGGTTTTAACCTGGCAGTGTTGGGAAGAAACTGCGTTTGAGGATTGCTGAAGCTGCGTCTGTGTAACTTCTGAGATCACCAATCCGGACTTTCACTAAGTCGATTTGCTGTGCAACTCCAGTGGCAAGCAGCTTGAAGCATGTTTTCTGATCGTGGTGACTGGCAATTAGTACGGAGTTAGTAACATTTGGTAGATATACAATTTGCTTAAACTCTCAGATGATTATTGAATATGGTATATATTTTTTCTCTCTCTCTCTCTCTATATATATATATGTATGTATGCAGGTTTAAAAGGCAACACCTTGATTTATGTAATAGACATGCATAGTATAGATATATAAACTGCTTTACATATGTTTCAGGGCTTCTAAATACTTGTAACCAACGTGTGTGTGTGTGTGCGCGCAAAATATAAATGTATATATATATATACATTGGGTGTATGTAAATGTACAAAAAGCACCTATATCCCACCATTTACATCCATTTACTGTACATATACCTGGTTGGTGATGAGCCTGCAGGAGTCCGATGTGATTGAGGAGGTATGGGTGGTGGGGTGGTGAGGCTTGTTTCTGGGATCAAAAACATGGGATTTCTCCACAAAATGGAATATAATTGGGATTCAAATAACTTCAGTATACATATATATATATACTTCAGTTAAATATCGTTGGAATACAATTAATCCCTAATTGTTCTGAATCTCCCGATCACTATATTTTTTTTATTGAAGTCAGTCAGGTTGAAGAGATCCAATGAATATCCGAGGTTCGGTGAAGCATGCTGAAGCTAGGCGACTGGTCGCCACACGACAGGCTCAGGTGGAAGGTGTGCAAGCTGCCCTTGATGCGCAAGACTCGCAGTTGGCCGAGGAGAGATCACTTCAACTGAGCAGTGACTGCCGAATGGTTGGTTGATGGTTCGTGAATGATTAGCATTTTTTTTTCTACCCTTCATATCTTGGGGATATGTTCATTTGCAAATGGGAAATTTAAGAATGAGTTCCAGGGTTGGGAATCACATGGAGAGTTAAGCCTGTTTTGGGGATTGGTCAGCCAGACCTTAGCCCTGGTTGGTTGCTGAACGGTACACAGTTTCCACATGGTTTTTAGCAAATATATACAAAATAGATAAATACATACTACAAATAAATAAATAAATTAATAAATAAATGCAAAATATGTACACACACACATATATATATATATATATATGTGTGTACAGTAGGTATCTATAGTATATTCATGTTGGGAAATCAACTGGAGATATTTTGGCCCGCACAACTACCAGAGCAGGAGGAAGTGGCGTCCTTGTCCACTGGTGCGCGACAGGTCCTTGTGTCCGAGGCGGATGTGATGGAAACGGATGGTGTAGGGTTGTATATGTTGGTTGGGCTGAAGGAAATCGCCAAGTTGGTGCAAATAGCTCCAATAACTATAGTAACTATGGTTTATTGGCAATGATTCTGTCAATGATTATGATACTATAGTCTTCGATTATGATCATTAACTATTTTCTAACAATGTTTATGTTACTATAGTCAATGATTCTTTGGACAGTTCGGAAAATCGAAGCACAGTTAAACCGTTGGCGCTCATAAAAAACCTCCCCAAATTAGCTTTGCCGCAATTGCAAACCTGATGATGAACACTCACCCATTTAGATGCACTAACTCTCCATTAGTCATTGACGATTTGTCCGACTTCTCCTTGCCATGACCGGAGGGGACCGGAGGGCCCTGGGCCGAGGTGCAGTACTTGGTTCTCCTGTTGTGGGCCGAGTTCGCCGCTCGGCGGTTACTAGATCCGACCATCGGAACATCGGATCTAGATATGAAACATCGGAAAAGTGATAAATGAACAAACGTTTGCCAAATGAACAGGATATAGATCAACATTGGATATGGCTTTGAATGGTTGCTTCATATACTTTAGAGCCTACTGCAGCTCTTATTTGCGCTTGTAAGTGGTGACTGGGGTGACCCTAAAAACAAGTGACCAGGCGAATTGTGATTTTTTGGGGTCCACCCCCCAACAAAAAACTTCTAGATTGATCCACCCGGCGTTTTTTTTGGGGGAATGAGATGGGAGTACTAGTCATATCCATGTATCCCACCCAAAGTGGCTCAAATTTTTTAGAACGGGAAAACTGCACACCATACCCGAGCTTGTCTGATTTATCACCAAGCACCAAAGCAATGTCTCTGTTTCACTTGTTTTTCACACCACCATAAATTATGGGTTAACTCCTGCGATCGAAAAATGGGTCACCCAAGGAAAAAAGCGCAATGAATTTATTGAGATTCAACCTGTGACAATGGGAGAAAAACACCTGGAAACGATGTCCTTCGTAGTGGCAGAAGGATTCAAACGCCAGGTATCTATATCTGGCGTTTGGGAGATGTTTTTTCGCATCGGAAAGTTGCAATCCTTAGGGTTCCTTGTAAAATTTATGGCGTGCAAACGCAGAAAAGACGATGATCAACCCAAAAAGAATGCATGGGTTGAAAACCCACCACATATCATTGGGGATTTAACATGATTTAACCCCCAAATACCCAACATTTGGCGCATGTATTTGCCAAATTTGCATCATGAAAGTGGTATATGTTTGACACGTTCAACTTCCAGGATCTCTCTCAGAGTGGTTTGTTTGTTCCAGACGGCCCAGTAGGAAATCGCAGAAATCCCGAGTAGATATATGTCCTGGTACATACTCTGATATGGGTACGAGTCAAAATACAAGGTATGGATCAAGGCCCCGAACCCACACACGATCCATACCCCCCGATCCATACCTTGATCCATACCCTGTGGTACTGCATGATCCATACCCTTGATCCATACCCCTGATCCATACCCCTTTCTCATTGAAGAAAGATTGATGCTGGCCCTAATGCTGCTTTTTATCCTAATACTGCTTCTGGTCCTCGTACTGCTACTCCCGTTGCTACTCCCGTTGCTACTCCCGTTGCTACTCCCGTTGCTACTACTGTTGCTACTATCGTTGCTACTGCTGCTTCCGCTGCCTCCGCTGCCTCCGCTGCTTCCGTGCTGCTGCTGCTGCTGCTGCCGCTTCTGCTGCTGCTCCTGCTGGTCCTGCTCTCGCTGCTGGTGCTGGTTCACTTCCTCCGTGTGCTTCTGGTAGTTGGACAAATGCAAGTAGTTGAGTAGCTACTAGCAATATTGCAAGCGCACCTTGGAGGCTAGTAAGACTGGTTCTAGTTCCACTAGGTGCTTCTTGTACTTCTAGTGGCGCTATGATTACAACTCCTTCTGTTTCTGCTTTATCTGGCACGTGTAGAACTAGACTAGACTTGAAATACCCCGCTCTCTTCCTTCACAGCCATAGCGTGAAAGCCGGCCCAGATAGCGTGTCCCGATCCATACCCCGATCCATACCCGTTCCATACCCGATCCATACCCGAACCCAGTCACGCCACAACAAATGCCAATATGAAAGTCCGATTCTATTACTACTCCTACTGCTCCTGCTGCTTCTACTACTACTACTACTCCTCCCTCCTCCTCCTCCTCCTGCTCCTGCTGCTGCTGCTGCTACTACCATTAGATTACTATTGACTATTGACTTTTACTAGTACTACTGTTACTGCTACTGCTATTTCTACTGCTGCTGCATCTTATCCTTCTATTGCCACTACTGCTGCTGGTGCTGTTTTTTTTCCTGCTCCCTCGACAAGCAGTGGTAACAGTTTTAGCAGCAACAGTAGCAGGAGGAGAAGTAATAGCAAGTCGGGGAGTATCAGCACAGTTTGTATGCTATGATGAGCCCTTACGAAAGGGTACGGATCAGGTACCTTACGTAAGCACTCGCGATCCATAGTACGGATCACCGCGGAGCGATCCATACCCGATTTTTGGCTCGCACCCATATGGCAGTAGGAAATTCAATCACAATTTATCTCCATGATTTTTCCTACTACCATGGAGCTGATTCCCATGTGGATCTATCAATAGATGATGTTCAGTAACTGTCCCACCAGAAATATGAGATTTTGCATCTAGATTCCAGTTTTTCCAAGGTGCTGCCGCCCAGTTATGCTGGTTTATAAGCCCACGAACTATAGATGAAGTTTAATCTAGCATAAACCATAGTTAAACTAGGCAGTTAACTTAACTTAAAGCAACTTAAGGAAAACTGGTGTCGGACCTTGATCATTTACTGTATCTAAAATCCCATTAAAATTCATATTTTACCTCATTAAGAATACTAAGACACCATTCTGTTTGTTAAAAAATCAATGAAAATCCCATTCAGACACCATTTTGCCACATTTTGCTTCTTAAATCATCATTTTTTTTCCCATCCCATCCCCTTCCAAAAAACACGTCTGGTTAAGAAGCCCTTCCTCGTGGTTAAACCTCCATGAGAATCTGGCGATAGCACTTGGGAATTCCACCTATAAGTGGTGAATGAAAAAGGGACCCTATATCCCAACTGATAACCCTCTGAGAAGCCCTGGCAAAGGAACAGATTCCAACTGATTGCTTTGTCACCATAGTTCTCCCCATAGCTGGTCGCCCTTCGAAGGAGCGCATGGGCGTCCAGCACAGTGAGCTGCAAGCGGCGGCGCTGGCGATCTGCGAGCCGGAAAGCTGCCGGCTGGACACCAGGTGGACCCTCCGGTGGCATGAACCATGAAATCCACCCTTTTTTGCTTTAAAAAAACAGGTTCCCCAGTTCCCCACATTCTTTTTGGGGCATCTTCATCCAGGTACAGATGAGTTTCTCATATATAAATATATAATCTTCGTATAATAATCTGGAATCCATTGCATTTTCATCCATCTAATATGTGATTTATTTCGAACAATATAAAGCTTGATTGATGGTTTTCCAAGCCGGCCGAGTCCTTGATATTTCGCGGGAGGCGCGTGGTGGACTGCATCGTGGGCATGGCAGATGTCACTGGCCGAAGAGCCGACAGGTTAAACACTGGGGGCCACTTTGTAAGGTTATAACATGTTATAACCAAGTGTTGCTGCAGCAAAATAGCTGACATTAGCTGACTCAGAAGACCCAAGCGATTTTCTCACTTTCAGCTTAGTTACCCTCTGGTAATTTAACGTAGCTATTGAAAATTACCATTAATAGTAAATTTTCCCATTAAAAATGGTGATTTTCAATAGCTATGTTAAATTACCAGAGGGTAACATAGCTCAGAAAATAGATTACGGCTTAGTTGACGAAAACCCAAGGACGACAATCGATGCAGGACATCGACATGGCGTTTCTGAGGTGCCAAGTGCGAGCCCCGTCCTCGGCAAGCTGCGAGAGCTTTTACACTTGGACCAGGCGCGGTAAGAACAGTGGTATCCTCAGGTGTCTAATTAACTCTCAGCTACATAGAGACAGATGTTTAATACAACAGTGGTTAACACATAGTTACATATAGATACATACTGATGTTAATAACGAATGAGCTTAGTTCATTGCGAACCAGTGTTTTTTTTAAATAGTGCGAACAGTGATGGTTAGATCATGTTGGATACGAAGGAAATCAGCCTTGGGTCCAACCTGGCCTCACACAGTTGTACTTCGCTGCCGCGAACTGGCGAACTCGTTGATTTGGCACATCCCGGCCCGGGCGGCAATGGCAAATGTGATCTTGCAGATCACCTTGAACGAGCGGAAGAGACGGTGAGCGAAGCAACGAGAATATATATATATAATATTACACATGTATTATATATATTATACAATAATGTTAACAATAATAAAAATAAATAAAAACACGCACACACATGTGTATATATAGATATATAAATTGTTATTAGATTGTTGTGAGATTTTAACGGCCGGTATGAACGAAATTGCTATATTGAACCGGAAGCTCATCTATCAGTGGAAGATAGTTAGGTGGAAACCACAGGGCTTTCACCGGTTCGTCAGTGAATTTATAGAGGGCTGCCTTGAAATGATGAGAACATGTGCAGAAGAATAGTAATCGCAGCCCGGAAATTTCTTTTAAGGTCTGGGTATGTTGCCTACGGTCTTTCTCGGCGACCCTTTATGGCACTTCACTGGGCACATGTCCCTTTCAGCAGATTTCCTGTGGTTCCCTTTTTTTCGGCACTTGCAGGTGCCTGATTCAGATCTACTTCACTACCTTGTGCAGCTTAGTGCTGATGTGGATGCCTTTGCAATGGTCCCCTGGACAGAAACGGCGTGAACTGACCAATAGCACCAGGTCCACATTTTTTTCATCGTTCTTAGCCCAGAACGCCAATAACGAGCGACATTCGGTGGTAGGCGATGAGCATCCTAGTCAAAATTAGGTTAAGATCCATTGAAATACATATTTTGGTTGTCCAACTATCGATACGATGCCATTTTGACACAGCTGTGGGCACTGTGGGCTACAAGCAATTTTAGTTTGATCATATTTACCCTCTGGTAATTTAACATAGCTATTGAAAATGGCTATTTATAGTGGATTTTACCATTAAAAATGGTGGTTTTCCATAGCTATTTTGACATAACCAGAGGGTATGAAATCATTCACGAAATCTACCAGCAATGATGCCTTAAAACTCCTCCGGTATTTTCCTCTGCGAAGCTAATTCCCCAAAGGAAGACTCGATCGCCTTGATCCATTTGCTGTACTGGTAACAAACTCTTGGGCCCCGGAAAATATTGAAGAAGATTCCGAAAGAAGTCGTGGCCCCTTTCCTGAAAGATCCGAGGCTTTTGAGGATTTGAACCGGCGACTGATGGAAGAAAAGCTTCAGGTGGCCACAACCTCGGCATCCTGGCCTTCAGGTCATCTTTTCTGGGCACGGTTGGTTGTTCATTTTGGTTGGTAAAAACCTGGAGTATCAGGTAATATTGACTCAATAACTGGATATGGATCTTTTTTTTCTGGTAAGTTGACCTGGCTTTTGCGGAATACACATTATTTTTTGGTTATCTCTATATATACTTTTTTTTTTTCACCCCCATCCCGTACACCCACAGTTTTGCAATGTTTTGCTTAAATCCGGCACCTTTTGGTTAGCTTCAGCCCTTTTCAGGAACGTCCATATATTGTTGGCTATTACCTCCAATTTTGCTCGGGTATCTCCATCATATCCCATGATCATATGGCTTTACCAATCTCAGACACACCCGCACATCACCTTGTGGGTTACAAGTCTATTACTATGCTCGCAACATTGGACAACCAAGTGTTCTTGATACTTGAATCTCCTTCATAACCTTCATACTTATACAAATCCATTAAATCCTCATTGCCAATACCAGGATTTTCATTTCTGAAGCAAACAAATCCTACATTTCTTCGGCTAAAATACATCCGTATCCCCAAGTTGATGGCTTCCCTGGTGCCTGGACCGCTCCTGCTGGGCCCCAAGGACCGCTTAGCGTTGCTTCGCTGCCTGGTGGAACTGCAGAAAAAGAAGGAGGCGAAACCCGAGCTGATTCGCAAGGCGCAGGGCTTGATTGTGGAGCCATGGTGATGGTGATTAATGGTGATGAATATTCATCGGATAATCATCGGTATATCAATCATTGGGATATTGATTGAGATAATGATTGGGATATACAATTGCAAGCGCCCACGAGGAAAATTACAGTATCTGAAATCCGTCACTTGCCCCACTCGCCCCACTTGCCTTGGTAGGAAACTCAATCGATTTTGGCCACTTGCCCTGCTTCCTCCAATGAAGAAACAAAACACATTTTTTCTTCCGAAACGCGAAAAAACAGCAATGTCAACTTCGAGCGATAATTTTGCGCATCCGGAGGTTGTAGGTAGAAAAATGTGTGTGTATATCATATATCACGATGAATAATCAGAACCATACATACATTTTTTCTGGGTAAATTATAACGACCTCACTGCGACCTCACTGGAATCATGGTTTATAAGGGAAATCATCCCCAAATGGCCTTAATTCAGGTTAGTGAAATATTGTAATTTACCCAGATTTTTTGCATCTGCATTGCCACTCACACACACACATTTTCTACTGCCACGCTCTGAAAATTGGAGGGTTGGATCCAAGTTTGTCGGAGGAGGCCTTTCCGAAAGGGACTCGATATGGCAGACGTAATTTTTGGATTTCTTGCAGGTATTTACTACATTTGACTAGAGGGAAGGCTGGGAAGGGATTGATTTTTTTGTTGGCCTTGAATTCCAAGTACATGGGGCCGAGGAAAACCACTTCGACAAATCCGAGTGATCCAAATTGTGTGCGTTGTGGATTGGTTGCCATTGAGAGATACCTCCCAGTCAGACTTGATCGTTGAACTTGGTTTCTATTGGTGTTTGCACCTGTTTTCTCCTTCCCGTAGGTTGCCAAACTCCTCCTGGAGCATGTGCCAACTGAGAGACCTGGAGTTGTTTATTTCCAGGAGGTCTATGAAGGGACTTTATTGGATTTTATTTGAATTTATTGGGTACGATGGTCAACCTTATGGCCCCTTTACTTTGGGGGCATGTCCAAGAAACCCTAATCCAGATTTTTTTTCGCCAACTATCCCAATGATAGTGGGTTTCAACACCAGCGCCACCAACCATCACCACCTCGTTGTAATTCCCTTCTGATATCAAGTATCCCTCCAAGCCTAGCTTTAGTATTGGATCGTTTTGGGGACTTTTACATCATATTACCTCAGAACTTGAAATGGGTATGTTCGAGAATGGTGGCACCCCGAATTCACAAGGATGTATCATTAATTGGTCGGGAAACCAGCAGGTCTTTTGGATGCACCCAGGGTATACAACCGAAAGTTGCGTTTTTTTTCTCCCACTTGTCATGGTTAAGTCATTCTTCACCGTTTCAACCCAATTGTGAATGTTGCTTGGTTGGTAGCCCTCTAGAAATGGCAACAAACACTCACTATTTAGAATAGGAATATCATCTACAAACGGGATATTTTTCGTTGTGATCATTCTTGTGGAAATTTTCCTTTGGCAGATCAATCGTTGAATGGATTGATATCTACGGTTATCCCTGCCCAGTAAAGGAGTGATTCCATCTATGATTCCCTGCGTCCAAAATGTACACTCAGGAAGCGTCCAAATCGAAAGATGCATCTCACCTCTATTATAACAGGCAAAAAGATGGCTTCGGATATTGAAGCAAGATTAAGGAACCAAACGCATCTAGACATTCCAAATCAATCCAAATCCTATTAAATCCAGATATGGGGTTTCCATAAATGGTGGTACCCCAAATGGATGGTTTATAATGGACAATCTATCCAAAATGGATGATAACTGGGGTACCCCCATGACTTAGGAAACCCCATGAAACCCCCATGGCCCATATCCCATCCCATCCCAATAGCTCTAGCCTTGCGCAGGAAAGGCAACACGCAGCAGAGCCTTCAGATTCTGGCCGCGGCGTGCCAGGCGCTATCAGAGGTGCAAACGGTGCAAAGCAACGAGGCGCTTTGCAGGGAGCTCACAATGATCAATGGGGATTATGTTTGCCCATTATTCACCATTAATGTGACAATAGGTCTACTGTGACATGGTGAATATGTTTGGATGAATGACAATGACCTCATGTCGTGATACTTACCCTTTGGTAAACTAACATAACTATGGAAAATCACCATTTTCAATGGGTAAATCCACTAAATGGCAATTTCCGTAGCTATGTTAGTTTACCAGAGGGTAGTATGCCCAGTTTTATGGTATTGCGAATGGTTTGCAGTGATATTTCTGTGGGAATAAAAACCATCCCCACCAGAAAAATTGGAGGAATTCGAAGGATCATCCCATTGCGACCCCGGGTTACTACATCAATCTGGAAAAAAAATCACGACGGATAACGCCTGGAATCATGGTTAAGAGGATTCATCCTGATTCATTGCCTTATCTTAATACCTGGATGAATCCTCTTATTAACCATCAATCTGGGAATCTGGCTAGTGAATTTTTATAATTTGCCCAGATTGATCGGGTTTGGTGAATACAGTATACCTGGACGAATCTGATCATGACCTCATCGTGGATTGTCACAATGATGGGGTGTTTAGGCAAGGGGAATCATCCCCAAATGGCCGAACTTTTCGGCAGATTTCAGGCAAATTTCCGGCTCATTGTTTTCAGGTTAGTGAATTATAACATTTCAGCCAGAAGATATGGTGTAACTATGCGTAACTAGTGAGCCGCACATGGTGAAACATGGGGTTTACACTAGATATATTCATCCCCAACTCGGAGGTGCATACCATGTGGCTGCCATATGTAGCGCTATATAGCTAGGATATATCGTATATATGGGGATTTCCATGAATGGGGGATCCCCAATAGCTGGTTGGTTTAGAATGGAAAATCCAATGAAAATGGATGATAACTGGGGGTACCCCCATTTCAGGAAACCTCCATATAGACCACCCAGTCATATAAACCTCCCATCTGAAAGATAGCATTAAAAACCACCAAGGTATAGAACGTGTTAAGTTATACCTTTAATTATGTTTCATGGCTAAACCGCCCCCAAATGACCACAAAAAAAACTGTGGGTAAAAATAAAATAGCGAAGCAATGCCAAAAAAAACCACCCATATGGATTGATGATTTATAGCACCCATTAACATGGTAAATTTGGGGATGGTTTACTAATATTGCTTTATTTGACGTGGTGATTATTATTCACCACGTGGACCGTTTCTGGGATGCACATCGGAGAATGACTCATGGGCATCAATGGTTGCTGTCTGATATTTCATTGAATACGATGGATTCGTATGGATGAAATGGGACATGATAACATGATCAGTCATGGGGAACACCGGAAAACCCTCAATTAATGGGATACTGTACCCTGTGGCAATTTAAATTTCACATAGCTATACTATTAGCTATGGACATTTACCCTCTTTTGATATGTAAATCATCGAACTATTTAGATGGGTCATTTTCCATATCTGTGTCAAATTACTGCACCGCGTAATGGAGATGAATGGGCATGAAAGTGGGAAGATTCAGGGTGATGTAATCTCAACCCCAGATTCTTATTCACTCCTAGGCTGTTTCATTTCGGGGGGGGGGGGTTACTGTACATTTTAGTAGCATATGTGTGTGTGTGAGTGTGGGTTTGTCCTGAGATGATGACTTTACCACAATTTATAGAGAACATGAGGTTTCAAATGGTGGGTTTTGGACGGTTTTGGAACGAACACCCATAGAAATACTGGCAAAACATGAATTTCCCATAAAACCAGGTGGAACACGTTTGAAATTCTTCACTTCTTTAGTACTCTCTGGTAAACTGGAGGGTAACAAATTACTAGAGGGTAACTCACCATCAAATCACCATTTATAGTGGTTAAATCCCATTAAATCACAAGTTTTCATGTGTAAATCAACATAAATCAACTATTTTGATGTACCTAAAAGCCATCGAGTCAGTGTTTAGCTGTAGTTCCGGTTGCTTGGTTTTTTCAGATTGGCTCACGGTGATGAGCTCTACTTCCAGCGTCTTGGAACATGGGGCCACCCCCAAAATTCAAGCAGGATGATGGGTAACTACAATGTGAGGCCCCCAAGATAGCTAAGTTGGTTTATAACTCCAATAACTATGGTCTATGGTATTTGTAACTATAGTTGCTGGGGCTTATAAACCAACTTATAACTGGGGGGCCTCACATTGTATGCTTAGCTCGTGAAGCAAATGGTGAAACCTGCGGGGTTTCCACTAGATATACCTATCATTCCCAACTCGGAGGAGCATACGATGTGGCTGCAATTCTTGTAGCGCTATATAGCTAGGATATGTCCTATATATGGGGGTTTCCATAAATGGGGGTACCCCAATAGCTGGTTGGTTTATTTCATGGAAAATCCATCTATAAATGGATGATACCCCATTTATGGAGCACCCATATAGTTGTATATGAACAGTATGTAGATGTATATGCCATATGTACATGCATATATATATAATATACATATAGTTCGGTTTCTAATTATCTATACCGTAACATATATAGATATATGTATATACAGTTACATACATGTGATACATACACCCGCCTTATAGATCCACGCTTTGTCAAGTCCAATTCAGAAAGGCGCCTGCCATGGCGCCGCTGCTACGCTCAGCCCTGAGGCGGCTGAAGGAGGCGCGCGTGATTGGCAAACCCTCCGGACGCCCTAGCCAAAGAAAACAAACAATGTTTGAGCGGCAAACCCCCAGTAGATGGCAATCATCCATCTCCCCACTAGCCTTTGATTATTGAACAGAACTATTGAACATGGCCCAATTATAGTTGATTTACAGTACCTATTAACAATGGTGGTTGTCCATGGCAAACTGTTAGTTTACAGAGGGTAAATCAGTTCCTTTGAGAATAATCTCATCACCCAGGAAGCTTCACGGGTGAAGCTAGCGGAAGAGGTGCATTCGTTGGCAGAACTGGGGAACTTTTTGATGGGAAACACAGGGAAATGTCTGGAGAGTGGATGGTTTAAACATTAAACGTGTGGATTTCATGGGAGATATTTTTGGGGATATAATGGGATAGAACTAGCCAACTATATCTAATTTGGGCATTTATCTGGATATCCAAGCTAAAATAGACCCTCAAAAATAGCCAATTTTGAGATCATCCAACCACTTTTTTGGCAGTTGGGAGGCGGTATATGAAGGTCCTCTGTAATTGCAGGACTTTCCATTGCTGAGTTGGATTGGTGCCGCGCAAGGTAGCTGGTGTCAGTCATCACCAAAAGAGCGGGGTAATTATCACAATCGGCTGCTAACTCCTGATTGGTTTCTGAATGTTGATGATTACATGGGTTTCCATATCAATAGGATTACTATTACGTATGTTACGGATATTACTCATAATCTCAAAATTACTAAATGACATTTATATTAGTAATATGACTAATACAACAGTATAGCCTTCCGAATTATCAATTCCACTTCCCCACTATGACAGATATTGCAATCAGTTGGTAATATGAGCTAATTTTATTATCCTTACTAATGTTACTGTTATACTTGGTATTATGTTACTAATATTACTAATGTGGGTAAAGCAACAATAAAGCATCCATTTGGGAATGGTTAAACCCCCGTATTTATGGTGATTTGGGGGATGATTTATTGTTGTTTGACCCGCATTATTCCATTCATATTCCCTATTACTATTATACTTGGTATTATATTACTCTTCCACTAATATTTCACTATTGGTAGGAATGTAATACCAACTATTATTTGGTTTGCCTATTACTGTTTATTTTGGTTTTGGTTTACGACACATGAAACCCAACCATTAATATTACTATTACTATTAATATTACTATTCATATGTTAATATTACTACTCCAATTGATATTATATTACTACTACTATTATTCATCTTCACCCAAGGAGCTGGTCCAACTCCTCTTCTCTCTCTCCACTCTGCACGGTGGCCGCGTACCCTTCGACCTCCTGGCCTACGCCTGGCAGCTGGCGGTGCAGCACGGCGCAGCGCCACGGTGAGAACAAAAGGTGGAACCATGGGTTTGGAGATGGGGTTCATATGGAAAAATGCGGGGGTTAGCCTCTGGTAAACGTTTACATAACGAAAGATCCAGGATTTTGAATGGGAAAACTCACTATTTCGACTGGGCCATTTTCAATAGCTATGTTATAAATTACAGAGGGTAGGTGAATTTTACCATGGTTGTGCAGTGTTCTAGATGGGTAGTACATAGGAAAAATGCGGTTGATGTGTTTTTTTAATAGGTTTTTCGTGGTTTTGCCTGGATGCCTGGACAAAATCTGGGGATATAAGACTCTAAGTGCCACAACATGTCGGAAGATTCATGGAAATGGTAGGTTTACCTGTGCAAAATGGGTATTCATTCCAGGACGTACTTGAGTGCATCCCAGCTGGTAAGTGCTTTGTTATGCCGTATATTAGCATATCCCACGAATCTAGGGCTGATTCCTGGGCTAAAGGATCTGCTTGGATGTACATCCCACTTAGGATCTGTGGTTTATAATCCATAACCCCTGTAATCCACCCATAAAAAACGTGCGAATATTCCATAGAAAAACTTGGAGGCATAAACCATTTACGAAACGTGGGTCCCGCACCCCCAGTGGATCTCAGGTCAGCGAACTGGGCCGCGCCAAACTCTGGAGTTTCTGCCTCTGCGCTCGGCATCTCTCCACGGAGAGCGTTTGGGCGGCGCTGAGGCGGTGAGCGTTCCGAAGAAAGCCTTGAAACATGCGACGAAAAAAACATTAAGATCAACCAGAATTTAGCGGGAATATGAACTTCCAACTTACTTTTTGGTGCTTCAAGACGGTTTCAATGTTGGTCTTTACCAGTAGTACCGCACAAGGCGGTGGCGGAAGTTTCAAAAATAGGAAACCTATAGGAGAGATTGGTTGTTGTGAATCACGGATGGCAGAGCGAATCCACTGATGGACCGAAAGGTGGTTGGAGCTGTGTTTTTTGGAGTGGCTGCAATGGTTGCAGTGGTCACCTGGTTGTTCACCTCACCCACAACTGCTGGATGTAGTGTGGTGTAGTGCAGCTGTAGTTGTAGTTGTAGTGTAGTGGAATATTTAGTTGTGGTGTAGTGTAATTAGTGTACTGTAGTTGCAGTTGCATTTGTGGTGGTGTAATGGGTGTAGTGTAATGTAATGTAATGTAATGCAATGTGGGGTAGGGTAGCGTAGTGTAGTGTAATTGAGTGTAGTGTAGTGTGGTGTGGTGTAGTGTGGTGTAGTGTAGTGTAGTGTAATGCAATTAGTGTAGTGTAGTGTAGCGTAGTGTAGTGTGTTGTGTAGTGTTGTGTACTGTAGTGTAGTGTAGTGTAGTGTAGTGTAATGCAATTAGCGTAGTGTAGTTGTAGTTGTAGTTGCAGTTGCAGTTGTAGTTGTAGTGTAGCGTAGCGTTATGTAATGTATTGTAGTTGTAGTTGCAGTTGTAGTTGCAGTTGTAGTTAGTGTAGTGTAACGTAGTGTAGTGTAGTGAAATGTAGCGTAGTGGAGTGTAATGTAGTGTAGTGGAGTGTAGTGGAGTGTAGTGTAGTGTAGTGGAATGTAGTGTAGTGTAGTGCAGTGCAGTGTAGTGTAGTGTAGCGTAGTGTAATGGAGTGTAATTGAGTGTAATTGAGTGTAGTGTAGTGTGGTGTAGTGTCGTGTCGTGTCGTGTCGTGTCGCGTCGTGTCGTGTCGTGTCGTGTCGTGTAGTGTCGCGTGGTGTAGTGTAGTGTAGTGTAATTGAGTGTAGTGTGCTGTAGTGTGGTGGAGTGTATTGTAGTGAGGTGTAGTGTAGTGGAGTGGGGTGTAGTGTAGTGCAGTGTAGTGTAATGTAATTAGTGTAGTGTAGCGTGGTCTTATGTAGTTGTAGTTGTAGTTAGTGTGATGTAGTGTAATATAGTGTAGTGTAGTGTAGTGTAATGTCATTATTGTAGGGTAATGTAATGTCATGTAGTTGCATTTGCAGTTGTAGTTGTAGTTGTGGGTGTAGTGCAGTGTCATTCAGTGTAGTGTATTGTAGTGGAGTGTAGTGTAGTGTAATTCGTGTAGTGTAGTGTAGCGTAGTGTAAGTGTAGTATTGTTGTGGTTGTAGATGTCGTTGTAGTTGTAGTTAGTGTAGTGTAGTGTAGTGTAGTGGAATGTAGTGCATTGTAGTGTAGTGTAGTGTAGTGTCGTGTAATTGAGTGTAGTGTAGTGGAGCGTAGTGGAATGTAGTGTAGTGTAGTGCAATGTAGTGTAGTGTAGTGTAATTGAGTGTAGTTTTGTGGAGTGTAGTGGAGTGTAGTGTAGTGTAGTGGAATGTAGGTGTAGTGTAGTTGTAGTGTAGTGTAGTGGAGTGTAGTGGAATGTTGTAGTGTAGTGGAGTGTAATGTAGTGTAGTGGAGTGTAGTGGAGTGTAATGTAGTGTAGTGTAGTGGAATGTAGTGTAGTGTAGTGTAGTGCAGTGCAGTGTAGTGTAGTGTAGCGTAGCGTACTGGAGTGTAATTGAGTGTGATTGAGTGTAGTGTAGTGTAGTGGAGTGTAGTGTAGTGGAATGTAGTGAAGGTGTAGTTGTAGTGTAGTGTATTGGGGTGTAGTGGTGGTTGTAGTTGAAAATGCTACAAAACCCTCATGTCTTGCTCTCTTTTGACAAGGTGCACAATCCCTTGCGCCTACCACGTGAAACGACATCTGAACGTCCAAAAGTGGTCCGAACCCCTAAGTGTTTTTAACATTTTGACATCGAAATGTGCTTCGCGCCACAACGGCGTGCACTTTTTCGACATCTCAACTTCCAAAAGTGGTCCGAACATGGTGTGTTTTGTACATTTTATGACTTCGAAATGTGCTTCGCGCCACAACGGCGTGCACTTTTTCGACATCTCAACTTCCAAAAGTGGTCCGAGCATGGTGTGTTTTGTACATTTTGACTTCGAAATGTGCTTCGCGCTACAATGGCCTGCAATTTTTCCTCTCTCATCTGGCCAGCTGGCTCCGCACCCGCCGCTTTAGCGAGCCTACTTTTCGGCCCTCCGGAGCCACAAATCATTGGAAAAACAGATTGTTTCGCGACTTTCCTACCTTTTCGCGCACCTGGATCTTCTTTTTTCTGAGGCTTTCTCTTTTGTGATCTTCTTTCTTCTTCTCTTCTCTTCTCTTCTCTGACTCTTCCCATCTCTGCTTTTCATTTGTCCATATTGTCGGAAGTTTGACTTCTAAACTTCCTTCGGCAAGGGTAGATCTTCAATTTCGATGCTTAACATGTGGTGTTTGTTGGTTCAACCTCCATATCTACAGTCCAGTTTGATTGCTAATCAAAGCCAACTGCTTCCTGACAATCAAACATATTCAAACATGGCTGGATAGAAACTCACCGTTGAAACTAGATATTTTTACAAGTTCAATCATCCTGAATTTCATAATAAATCACCTTGATTTCCTTCAATCTTAATCAGCTTAAAATTCGACACCTTTACTATCCTTTAAGCCTTTAATCCAATTTTTTTAATGTGAAACCCCACGGAAAATCCATGAAAATCCCAATGTTTGTTGGTGAAATATCATCTCCCTCAGCTTCGCTGGCAACAGGCTGGTGCCGAACGCGGAAACCTTGGATGCCTCAGTGTTCATCGGGAAGGCCCGCGACGCCGCTCGCGACTGTTACGGGATCATCATTGTGATGATATGACTATAGTGATATCATAGCTATATATATATATGGATATATAGTTATGGTGATGTTTATACTGATTTATAGTATCAATAGTTTTTCTAGAATTATAGTTATAGTTTCCGATTTATCACTATACTATGAGCATATTATCATATGCAATGTTTTTTGTTTTTACTATTGGTAATTAAGATAGTTACCTTCCTATTGAGAGTAAAAAAGGCAATGATCACAGTACAAACAAGAGACATAATCAAAATAGACATAAGACTCATAAGAATAACACTTAACGATGGACACAAAGAGAGAGAGAGAGAGAGAGAACAATTATACAACAATGATAAGGATCATATTGTCAACCACAGATAAATAAAGACCCGGTTGATCAAGAACCGGGAGGCTACCCTCGAAACGTCTCAACTTCCAAATCGGCAACCCCCGAAAAAAAAACAGCAGGGGGTTAGTATCATGTATCATATATCCGCCAACTAAACTGGCTAGGAGTTGCGACCCCTCCAACAAGTCCATTGCCATCTGCTCCATGTGTGGGCTAACTACTTACATCCAACATTATTTCTCCAAAGAACCAACTAACATAAAGTAATTCATCCAAAAAAACTAAGAGCCAAAATGAATCATAATCATGTTGCAGCAACTAATAGTTGGTAAATTACTGGTAATGAGCTTTGGTTTACCACACATCATGAAACCCAAATCATGACCCAATCAGGATCGCAGGCTTCCAGCCTTAGCCCTGGAGACAGGCTCCCAGGACAGCCAGTCGTCTTCACCCCGAGTTGGGATGCAGAAAAGCTGAAGGTTTTAATGGGAAATTCAGCGAAAAATGGAGGTCTTCATGGGAAAATACGGTGTAAATGGAGGTCTGAATGGGAACATCATCTATAAATCATGCAAGTTTTAATGGGATTTAATGCGAGAGTTATTTATAAATGGAGGTTTTAATGCGAACATCATCTATAAATGGTGGTTAAACCGCATGAATTCACCATTCTTGTTGGTTCAATCCCACTAGATCACCATTGCTGATGACATTTCATTAAATCACAAGTTTTTGTGGTTAAAATTTCGCTTCAGTGACTTCAAACCACGGGATTCCCGCCATTTAGGAATGGTCTTGATAGTCTTGATGTTTATGGGGTTTTGTTTCTTAAAGAACCATTAGGCCAAACTCCTCATTAATGGTCTAGTTAGTCTGGTGGACTGCTCTCTTAATCGGTGGCTCATGACCAGGTTTTAATAGGTTTATTGTGGGTAAAACAATGTCATAAACCCATGACAGGGAATGGTAACCACACCACATATATTTATGGTGATGACTGGGGGATGGTTTATGGCATTTTTAAACCACATTATTCCACTCATATTCCACCATTAATATTATAATTTGTATTTATATTGCTATTGCACTATTGATAGGAATGCAATACCAACTATTACTATCACTATTATAGTTAGTATTATATTACTAATGTTAGTTCCCATTCATATATATATATTACTATCCTATAGTACGAATGTTACCATTAATAAAAATATAGTAATATAGAATAGTAATAACTATTAATGTTACCATTCATATAGGAGAGTAATATAGGATAGTTGAACCCATTAGTAACTGTTGATGTTTGTTTATTGGTCTCCTGAAAATGAGGTCGACTCCTCGGCCTGAAACAGGAGCTGCTTAGTGCCCTGCGTGTGGCGTTGTCGAATGCCGTGCCGGGGGAGTTCGGGGAAGCGCGATACCAGGCGAGGGATGGCCGTTACACGTCCAAAACGGATGGTTTGCAGGGGACAATCATGGGAAATTGTGAGGGAAATGGAGGTTTCCATAAGAAAATCATCTGTAAATGGAGGTTTCCATGGGAAAATCCATTGCAAACGGAGGTTTTCCTGGGAAAATCGTGGGAAATTGTGGGGAAAATATGGGAAAACCCTTGGGTTTTAAAGGGGAAAATCAACTATACTTACATCTCCCTTTTTGAGGAGTTTGAACATTGCTTGAAAAAGTATTTGTTGCAGAGTATATCCCCAATAGTTGGGTGATGTTCAAGTGGGACATTTAGCAGACATCTACCAATTTTCGGCCTTGCTGGTTTCAACCAATGATTATCCTCCAGGGAATTTTGGGAGACTTTTCTGGATCTATTGGGATCTAATGGGGTATTAAGGAGGAAAAGATGGGATAGAATTATGTAGGGTTTCACATGGATATGGAAAACACACGAAAACTGCTTTCCAAATGATCTACAAGTCACCAGTCAATCCGTGTTTCATGGCGTGTAAGAGGATCTTTGGTCATTGATGGAACAAATTGAGGATTTCAGGAAGAAATGAGATGTTCAACCATCAACTGTTGGGATTTTAGATGCTTCAAACCAGGTTTCGTCTGTCAAAGCATTCCTATTTTCGGGTTGCGGGGGAGAGTTCATTCTCGCGGTGATGCTCTCGGCGTAGGTCTTTCCCCCTGGTTCGGGGTTGTCTTGGGCCATCTTTGACGGTGTATGGATCCCCTTGTTCCTTGATCTGGAGCC